CTTTGAATACACAATCGCTTCAATGACGTTACGATAATATTTCTACTTATAATTCTTACGTAACTTAATTAGCCGATTGAGATATTTATTATTTTATAGCGATATCTAGAATAAAACGAATAACATAATTTATTGTCGGTCATACGGTAGATTATTTTTTCGATTGGACACAGTGTTATATGCAGCGCTGCATTGTTCTTTGTTTAATTCAAATTTAAAATCCCACTCTCTATAGCAAATTGTAATTTATTATTACATATTTTACAACATAATTCGTTCAGACTATTGTTAACATACAAGTCAATTAAATATTACACTTCCTATACCCAAGTTGGTACGTTTAAAATACGAACATTGCTTAGAAACGGATTTCTACGAAATTCAAACAATTTGGGACGGGTTTAAAAATTTTGAAGGGTAATACGAGTATATAACCATTGGTAACATGAAATAGGTACACGTCCTGTCAGTGCTTAGTGCTTAAGTTCACCAGACGAAGCGCTTCATGACCGCTACCTAAAGGCGGAAATACTCTAGCGGGATTTCTCGTGCGCATATAGCAGTGTGGAAGTGTAAATACCATCGTACGTCCGACTTTACGGTGGTATGTACATTTGTACATCTTCACAGTGAACCCGGGGTAGAACGGGGTACTTAACGTTTGAAAATTTTTTTTAGAAAATTTAACTAAGTACATATCCTTACCATTTTTCCTTGGAAGTTAATTTGATGTTATTTCCAACGATTGTTACAAAAATATTTCATTATTTCCTTTTCTGAATTTTGGTATTTATTTTTTTGTCCAAATGTGCTAATTCCCCATTGTGCCCCACCTATGGGGCACATTGGGGTACATGTGAATATAGCCATTCAACATACACGTGGGGCGGAACGGGGTATGCCCGGGGAGGTGCGGGGTATGCCCGGGGCGGGACGGGATATACCCCGTTCTGCCTCTCCCCATTCTGCCCCAAGAGTATTCATCGCGACTGTGACTAAATAAAAATAAATGCATTTGAACTAATAATTGCGTTTCCATGGAGTTTAGTCCTGTCTATGAACAATAGCATCCATTTTTGAGTGACAGTAAATCGCGAATGTCAATAAAATTATTCAATTGGGGGTTATTATGGATCACTATGGAAAAAAATTTCGGGTGCAACACGTGTTGAAAGTGTCTTCTTTCCATGAATTTGCTTGATTAACTCGGGCTTCGCCCTCATTAATCAAACTGTAAATTCATGAAAAAAAGTATCACTTTCAAAACTAGTTGTACAAATAACTATTTTTAATCTATGTTCTGGTGCCAAGTGAAATCATGGGAGGCCTACGATCAACGTGTCTAGACCCCCAGCCGGGACACACAAAAGGCCATTATAGGCACCTTTACAGACCCGAATACGTATTCACTATTCTCCCATGCTTTAATGAGATTCCTTATATGCCAGCCATTGGTATTTTCCTTGATTTGTCTAAAGCGTTTGATACCGTGTGCCATCAAAGGATGTTACACAAATTATATATACATATGGAATACTTAGAGGAAATGTATACGATTTAGCAGTTATTTAACTGGTGGAGAACATGAACAAGTTCAGTTAGATGAGAGTTACAGTGATATACAAATAATTACTTACGGTGTTCCTCAAGGAACAGTGTTAGGACCGGTATTATTTAGGGTGTGGGTAAAACACGGATCCGGACCCGGGCCCGGACCCGGACTTGGTGGGTAAAAGCCGGACTCGGACCCGGACCCGGACTTGGTTGGTAAAAGTTGGACCCGGACCCGAACAAAGCCACGGTCAGGGATCACTTTTATGGATTTTTTGTAGTGATCCTTTATAGTTTTATTATTTTCCGTAAACACTCTTTTTAACAGCGGCTGCTTGTTCGAAATTTGGACTGCGACTTCTTTATGGTTTAGGAAAGAACCATCAATAGGGGCAACAGTTACAGGGATTCTTGTGGATCGGGAACGGTAAAAATACAAAGGCGACCTCATACAATTAGAAATAGCGATTTTTGTGAAATTGTAACAGTAGCTCCTTTGAATAAAAGGAAATTCATTGTGGGTGTGTCACGCATGAGCAGAACCAGCTTCCTTATCTATTGTAAAATATCTGTCTCTATAAAGCCCCTTAAATATGGAGCAATAAATTTTTTTAAACATTACAGACGTTCCCGTAAACCGAGTAGATATTGGTTTATTGGACATGATATAGTCGACCTCAGTAACCTTCCAATAAAATAAAACATCAAATTAATATACAGCAACATTCACGGAGCTTGTTCGTTAATAGTTATTTACGTTATAAGTCCGGTAGGTTACTTGTAACAGTACGAGTTAGACATTATGGACGAGGCGACGTCAGGAGCCGAGTCAAGAATGTCTTAAACGAAGCCCATTTTCCATGAATTATCAGTACTTGCCGAAAGCTGATATAACGGACTATGTAGGTATGTGTACAGGAAAATATGTTTTCTTATAAATAAGAAACTGCATTGCGCATTGCTGATGTTTAAATTATGCGATATGTTTCCTGAAGTATAAGAAGCAATTGGATAAAATTTCAAAAAATATTTCTACATATAAGGAAATTAATAATAATAATAATAATAATAATAACCACACAAATACAACTTCAAGAACAAAGAAACACCATAAATACAAGTAAGACAACATGCACCACAAAGACAGGTCCACCCAATAAAATTACATGTCCTAGCACAGTTAAAAAACACAAAACTCCTTCTTCACAGAAGCACACCACGTTATCACAACCCACTCGTACTCAACCCAAACGCAACAACCTTAACAGCACTACAGGCTCACAAAATACTGTAATGTCTCCACCAATAACCCAAGCAACCACACAAATACAACTTCAAGAACAAAGAAACACCATAAATACAAGTAAGGCAACATGCACCACAAAGACAGGTCCACCCAATAAAATTACACGTCCTACCACAGCTAAAAAACACAAAACTCCTTCTTCACAGAAACAAACCACGTTATCACAACCCACTCGTATTCAACCCAAACGCAAAGCCAAAGAAACACTTACACAATAAACTCCATTTAATAAAATTACAGGAATTATTATAATGATTTGTTTGTTTGTTTTGTTTCCCTCTTTCCTGATAGCGTTGGCTATTGTGCCCATCAATAGCTATGTTGGTAAGTATGAAATACATACTATCTCTAGATTTTCAATGTGAGGGTGTGAATTTTTGTTTTATTTATTTATTTCTTTTATTTTTTTTAGGACCCTACATAACTTCACCAGACACAGACACAGACACTAATCGTTACTTGATTTTAATCCGTGCGATTAGTTAACCAGGCTAGACCTGAGTTCTCACAAGATACACCGACCATAATAATAATAATAATAATAAATGTCTTTATTAGGCATTTAAACAAAGTAAATATCTGAATAATTGACATTGCGCAGCGTGCGCATGCGCACATATGATTTTTACAATATGAGATATGCTTGTCTTTGTTAGAAGCATCTGTCATTAAAATTTTTTTTTATTTGCCGCTTCAGAGAAATTCCTTTGCAAATAAGAAAGTTGGATGTGCGCATGCGCAGATCAGATTTGAAGGATTCATATTAAAATTTTTAGAAAAATCGCTTTAAAATAATTTTTCATTTTTTATAGTTTTCCGGAAAGCTAGAAGGTTTCCAAAGCAAACTCTTTAATAGACAATTATTGTTGCGCCGTAATCCCAAGTCCGGGTCCGAGTCCCGGTCCGGGTCCGGGTTTTACCCACACCCGTATTATTTACATTGTATATAAACAGCTTGCTCTGTCTAAATACTATAGGCAGACTATTCAGTTTTGCTGACACTGACAAAATAGTTGTTAATCGTTGTAATCTACTACAAAATCACTGGTCCAATATCCAATTGGGACCCACCTGCCTTTTGAGTTTTCTATCTGTGACAAAATTATTTCGTACAATTTACAATACTGGTATAGCGTAGTGGTGTTGGACGTGCCCACCTATTATCTTCAATTAAGCAGCACAAAATTGTTATTGGGTAGCAATAAATAGCAAAAAATTATTGGTATAATGTAAGCTAAGAAGAATTACTTCGAAGCTGAACTTCGCCTCAAATTTCTACAAATTTAATGTATCGTTTATTTTTGAGTCAATAAAGTTAAAGTTAGTAAGTGTCTCTTGTATTTTGCCGAATATGTAGATATTTACTGGGTACTGCGGACTGCCACAGATATACTGGGTGGTGACTTGAACAACGCACCATGCATACTATAGTTTTTAGGTAATGTTTTGAACTTTGAAACCAAGAAATTGGATAAATAAAAACTGCCCTTTTAAGAAAATCAGTGCAGTGGTGCCATGGCAGTTTGAGATCAAACAAACCTAACTTAATGGCATTTACACTATTATGCTAATGGAAAATGCTTTTGTTTGATTTCATAATTCCATGGCATTACCGACTTTGTAAATGCGACAGTTATAAATTTTATAATTTTTACTGTTCCTGAATTTATAAAATAGGAAGCAATAGTATGTACGGATTTGTAATGTTTTTATCTATAAAAAACCTAAATAGACTTTATTTCTAAAATAATTAGGGAAGCCAATAATCACAAATGAAAAAATTACTATTGGAATTCCTATGGTGTTTCGTCAAATCACCACCTCGTATACGTTAGGGTTGAAGTGAGAATTCTGGTGAATGTGCACATTAACCAATCAAGGTAGAGATTTTCCTACGATGTTGGTTTCCTTCTCTCAATTATGGGTTATGTGTACACTTCCCTGGGAATGTTACAGTAACATAGTGTTTATACACGACGACGTAGATCTGGAGTACTGACATCTTCATGGGCCTACTGTGTAGTTATGGACTCTTTACTCTTTATATCATTTTCTGTAAACTGTCGTCATCTATGTTTAGTTCACATAATATTAATAAACTTGAAAAGTTGGTTGTGCCCCCTTTCAGTCAATCTACAAACTGCACGCAACAGTTTCCTTTAAATACAGTTAATTACATTTTGTTAAAGACGTACAGCTGTCAATTTCCAAAATAATACCACCAAATCATGGAGAGTTAACCAAAAATTCAAAAGTAGATTGTATAGTCTTTATCTTCGTCCAAATTTGGGTAATACTTTTTAAAGTACAAATATGGAACAATCAGCTTTAAATAAGGTGAGTAAACCAGAACTATTAATAGGAGCTTTGTATAATTAGGTTATCAGGTCACAAAACTACCATATTTAATCATTTTTAGGCCCACATTCAATACAGACGAGCTGAAAATTATTTACGTTATAGAAGATTTGAGGAGGCAATTGAATGTCATTCTATAGCTGCTGAATTATTGCAAGATGCCCTTTCGTTAACTGAAAATCCGCGCTCGTTGGAATCTTTAAAGTTACAAAGAGATTATCATCTGCGTCAAAAGCAAATAGTCTTAGTTAAAAAGGAGCAGTTTGAAAATTATAAAAAAGCGATCGAAAATCAAAGACAACGAATGCAGTGTCATTCGAACGCTGGCTTCGAAGATAATTTCGATCAAGGCAGTACCTCTTTACAAGTTGCTATTTATAGAACAATGGAAGAAGCGGACTCCTTATTAAATTTATTAATTAAGAAAAACAGCGGAGCTAATAGTGACAGTGAAAGTGTTAAGAGTTTCTCAACCGATACCGACGAAAGACTTTTGTCCATTGACACTATCGACAGCTCAAATTCTAATGCTGTTGTCGGCAGTAAACATCCAAAGGACGATAGTATTGTAATAGAAGAATTACGAATATTAAATGGTCAATTACATGCGTTAGTTTATAAACTTGTCACACAATTAGACGCAAGCACTCGAGAGGTAGACATGTTAAAGGAACAAATTCGACAACTAGAGAGTGAAAAAGTAAAAGGTAAATGAAATGTAGCATTAGTTGCTCTTTTAATTAACATGCATGAAACTACTCATATATCGCTATTAATGTAGAGATAAGCTTTCAGCTTCCCTTAAGGGTTTAGGGTCTAGGGGCCTATAACACAAGCCGTACAATTGTTAGAATATATTTTACACTTATAGCTTGTATAGCTTGTGCTATAGGCCCGAGGTCTGTGTGAAGTTAACATAATATACAAGTCAGACGTAAATAGCTCCCCCCCCCTCCTTCCTAAATTAGAAATTGTTTCAGATATCAAGTTGAAAAGTACAGGAGTATAAATACTACTTCTTGATTTAAAATTGATTGTTCTAGCCTTTGAGATTGCGTCTGTCCATCATTTAGAATTTTTTTAAATATAAGGGGGGGTCACGTATTACTTACCTCATTTTGAATTTCACAGTGAAAATAATAATTTTAAAAATGCAATAGATGTAGCTTGGTCGCAGGTGGCTAATCTTTTACCCACTTAATGGCCGCCTGATGGCGCCCTGATGTCGGTCTAAATTTCTAGAATATTCGCTACAATACGCAGTTTATATAGTCTCTTGTAAAGCATATCTTTTCTGCAATTAAAGATTGAAAGTGTTTAAGATCGTTGTCAATGTTTTGCCATTTAACCGAGGAAAATTTAGAAACCTGTCAAATATAATTTTTACAGCAAAATTTACATAATAAGAAATACTCAAAGAAATATGACCCATGTATTGGTATCAACCAAAAAATCAAATTGGTCGATAAATATAACAATTTTACAATTGACACATAATGACATAATAGAGTGGCAGAAACAACAAATTAATAACTATTGCCTGATTCCCGAGCTGATTCCCTCGCTGATTACTTAGCAGCTTTTCAAAACCCACCTCCCTCTGGTGGTGTCAAATCATTTCGATGAAAGCCTTTGCAAGTTGAGGCTACTTTTAAATGTAATAACTTCTGCATAACACGAGGCATAACATGTATTCGTCTCGTTAAGTAGACATTGTGTAGTAAACCATAACATAACCAGCTTGTTAATTTTTTGTTATCACAGATGAAATTAAGTGTATAATTGTTATAAACTTTATCAGTACTGTAAATCTCTAAACATGTTTTATTGTTTCAGTCCCCAATAAAAGCTCAAACTCCAATTTGAGGGTTACCACAACAGATTCATCTGGTGGCACATCTCCTTACGTTTTCACACCATGCAGTGAATTAAGCCCAGACATAAACGATTCGAAATTTTTACCTGTACTTTCACCCCTTGAACTCCCCAATTTTAATTTATCAACTTTTGTTAAGAAAAATTTAAATCAAAATATTAATTCGAGCACATAATTGTAAGTTGATGATTGTAAATATGTATATTTATAGGTACCAAATTTGTGTTCTACAAATCAAATATTGATATTTAGGTTTTATGTGTAAACAACGTAAGGCTTATTTTTGATGCTTTTTTGCTTGTTTTAAAATATACTAACAGTTAAATAAATGAACCATTGTTTAAATTAAAACTTATCAAGTTTGCTAACCTTTATTGTCCAAATTGTAGTTTACAGCTGCAAACACAGGTTTACATAACAGTGCTTTTCTCTAATCAGGGTCAAAGGCAGCTCAACTGTAGAATTGGTGGTAATGTACCAAATCACAAGGTATTCAGCTGCATTTGTAAATGAGGAAGAATTTAGAATGGAAGCTGAACTAAATCACAAAAGAATTGATATCTTTATCATCTTTCATACAATTGAGGTATCTGAGATCCATTACTTCTGACCGAGCTTCTGACCATCACTGTACCTGTCACAACCTTAAAAATGACGATCTCTAGCAGTCTGTCCCTGTACTTCTTAAGAGCTATGTCCCTTGTATTAATAATTAATGTGGAGGTGCAATTTACAAAATAAAGTCTTCATTATTTGTTTATACCTACTTCTGGTGATGTGGTTAACTTTGAGATAATTTTTTAGGATCGTCATAACACAGAGGGTGTTGGAAGAAAACAAGATATGGCTGCGTTTACGTAATATTTAATTTAAAAAAACAATTGTGTTCACAAATTCCAGTTAAATTTATTTAATTGGTGATTTTTTTGCAAAAGAAATAATTTATTGTTCTGTATTTTATAATTTTTTACATTTTGTAATTTTGTATAGTTTTGTATTTATGTATACCTTTAAAAGGATCAGTTTTGTTTAAGAATTTAGATTTTTACACTGTTATATTTTTAACTTACCTACCTATCCATGTTGATAATGCGTGCCTAAAGTGCTTATAAATTATTAAAATGTGGTAAATGTACTTTATTTCTAACTAAGTTAGGTATGTGTGACACTAATTACATTAAAGCGACATATTTAAATCAAATTAAAGGAACTTCCCATCTCTGCCACAGATGAAAAATTCTTACCTCAGCCATTGTTTAAATACTTTATAAACAATGCCTCAGCCCAGGTTCGAACGCCCGACCTTCCGGCTATGTAGCCCAACGCTCTAGAGGTACCACTGAGGCACATAGTCGGATGGAATTGCTTTCTTTTGTTTGAATAAATTTCTGTTTCTTTGCAACAATTTAAATAACTAATAATAATAATAATTGCTTTATTGCCAAACAGATATTCTCCAATTATAGGGCAAAATTGTAATTGATCTTTCAGGTCCAAAGACTGGCATTCCTTACTTTAGTTTTTTAATTTCTGTAGGTGGACGGTACTATATAATAATATAATGCGCCCTCCCGCTTTATAATGCTATACCTCGAAAACGGTTGGTCGTGCGAAAAAAATGTATATGAACAATTTTGTAGAGAATGCTATTTTACGTAAGTTTTGTTATGAGTTCTAATCTCAGGACGTTAGATGCACTGGAAGCGAGATTTTCGCGAAAAACTGATATTCATGACCTTTGGCAATTCAAGACGCACAAGGGTATACGTACGAGATTTTTTTGTGTTTCATTAGAACATCAAAACGAAGGTCTCTGCAAAAATTCAGCTTGTTCGGCCTCATTCCGCAGAGGAAGTTTTATTTCCCTGGAGTATATAACAAAAGTACGTACAGCGCTGGATTTACGGACGTACATTTTACATATTTATGGTTCATCTACATATAGGTACAGGGTCCAGCAGTGAAACAGGAATATTAAAAAAAAATCGCAATCTTAACTATTAATATTTGTTAAACTTTTTTACACAGATCTAATCTAAATTAGTAGAACTTAATGAGGATATATGAAAATGTCCATTTTTTGAAAACTATATCTGTAAGATGGCGTTTTTCGTTTCGAATACATTCTTCGTCTTTTGGTGAAGGATCCCATCTCATGTGTGTAGGATATCCAATGAAATGTTGATCTCCTGTTTGATTCACTCAGTTCGTCCCTAGTTCTGGGCGGGTTTAATTCAAAAACCTTGAGCTATAAGTAACGCCACAGAAAAGACTTTTTTCAAAACAAATCCAGCCTAAATCACCCAACCAAAATTTCATATAAATAAACATAGTAAGGCAATAATTTACCCACAAATCATAAAATAGTTTTAATTATTCTGTTTAGGTATGTACAACTTATACATATATAAGCAAAAATATAACACAACATTTTAAAACTAATTTTAGTACGAACTAAATCACATTTTAACTGTAAGTACCGAACTAGGCATCTATGGCATTGACTTCACCTACAATTGAATAAATCTCGTCTGCAACAACTTGGGTTTTTGACGTCATTCTATTCCATCATGAACCAATTTTAATATAAAGTCACTATTATTGCAGTAATGCCAAAGACTACAAAACCTAACCTTTAACGTTCACAATTTCGTATACTTACCTAAATTCGTAAGCGCATACCTCAAGAAATTTTAATTGTTTGTTGCAAGAAGCTGCCAAAAAAATAATGTAACACACGTAAATGCCTTTGTAAGGTAATTAATATAATGCTAATCTAATACTTGCATCATTTGGCTTGTTTGCATAGCGCCACCTAGTTAAAAATTATTTAAGTATAATAAATATATCTTTGATCACTTAAAAATAATTTCTTTGGATATGAATTTCATTATCACTAAAATTTACATAATTTGGTCTAATAGATATTCGACACTATGGTGTATATGGTGGCGGTGGTATACTGTAAGGCGGTGGAGGTGTTGGGCTGTCAAATGTTTCCATGTTATCACTGTACCTGTTGATAAGGCACCTTTCATCATTGCGATTCGAATCTGTCGCTTGCATTAGAATTACTGTACAAAACGTTCCTATTAGAACTATTCCACCTGCAAGAAAAAGATTGATGTCAGTATTAAGAAAACATAGTAGGTACAAAGATTGTTTATAATTGTAATGCATAAAAAAATTTACAATTTAGTATCCATGTTAAATTAAATTATCGAACAGAAAATTTAAAAAACCCTGGAAGGCGGTAAACAAGATCAAGATTTAATAATTGACGAAATAATGATTTTATGAAAACAAAAAGAAACAGTATAGTGGGAAATTCCTTTTTAAGTGAATGTCGGGACAATGTGAAGTTTTCCTTGACAATTTCAATTTTTTAAATAATGAATATGGCGACACAAATGACAAACTTGAAAATTTTAGTTTGGATTTAACGCACTTGGCAGTGAAATCAAAATTTAACGCAGCATATTTTTGTATGGAGGGCTCTGGGGCGCCGCCCTCCCTACAAAAAACACTAGATCACGTCGTGACGCATATTTCACATTTTATAAATTTTTAGTCATTTAACACAAAAGAAACGCTTCTCGGCAATTTTCCACTCAAAATGTTTTTGTCACCATGTTGCGTAGCCAAATGATTCGACGTATTTCCAAGGCAAAAAGTTCAAAAACGTCAAAATTTAATAGGCTATTTCTAAGCACTTGAGATATTACTGCTGAAGAAACTCTAGTTCAGAACATTCCCGACTTTTAAGAAAAAGTCATTGAACAATTCGTTTTAGATAAAAACAGAAGGATGGAATACCATTTCAAAAAGTACCAAAATTGTAAGCCCCTCCCCCCCAAATAGAAAGCCCGCCAGCCGCCAATGATGGGGTATATATCGGCCATATTTTAATCTGTGCTAATAGACCATAGAATAGATCTACAGATACTTTTATACATACCTGTTGAAGCAATTAAATAAACACCATATCCATATGCCACACTTGTATCTATCTCTGGATAAGTATTTTCTAAAGATTCTTCTAATAGTATGGTCACATAATAACATATACATATAATAGCAGTTATCCAAAATACTAAAAAAAAAGAAATGTGAAAGTAAACTGTTTTAATTAAGTACAAAAAGGGGTCATATTGTCACTACTTTTCACTTTTATGCAGTTATCGCTTTCTAAATAAGATTTACTTAGTCCAATCAATCATAGTTTTCTCGAATAATTTTGTAAAACAGCACCGATTTTCATAAGTTTGATTTAGATTCTGGTTACTTTCTTCTTCAAAGTTGACCCTATACTAGGGGTTACTTTTATCCTAGCCGCCCCTTCTCAGGAGTGCAATATGTTAAACTGAAAACAGGTTCGAGAATAGAGAGATTGATAATAAGCAATTGTTGTTTTTCACTCTTGATCCACCCCCGAAGTAAATGCAACCCCTGACCTAGTCAACTGTAAAGTAGAGTCTAAATTCAAATTTGTTTGCATATGTTCAATGACTGGATGTGCTTTCATTTGGATACGGCTACATAAAAGAGGTAGGTAAGTATGAATTGTAACTAACTCCACTGTAGAGTGCATGTTAATTCAGTAATTGCTTACGTACCTGTAAATGTACTAGCTAATGCATATCTACGAACAAACGTGTATATACTATTTTTTGGTCCTAGAATGTCAATGAAAAATCCTGCTAAAGAAAATATGATAGCCATAAATAGCAGTAAAATGATTGTCCGCATTAGATTCACAATGGTTCCGTTAATGCAGTATGCTAAAAGATTACATTCTTATAGAAACTACCTTTACCACACCAATATAAACAAACCGAGGTTATGTGTATCATTGTTTGAATAACCAAAAGAGAAAAACTGTCCAATCGCAAGGTACGGTGAACACACTCCTCCTTTAATGACAAACCAAGGGACCTGCACGAGAGACATGCTAATTAAAGTAATTGCGACGATATGAAATGCAGCCGGTACTAAATTGCGATACTGCAGTTTGGAATTCATCCACAGTGAACCGCGTCTGATCAAATTCCTGGGCATCTTTTTTAATTAAGCCTAAAAGTATTTTACAATTAATATCTGGACATAATCTCTTGCAAACTTACCTAAAATTAGAATGCCAATTAGGTACGCATTAAACAATTCGTTTAGAATTGGAGTTGTGCTATTTTAAATTAAACGAGTCCATTAGACGTGGTAGAAATATTTTTCGTTAAAGTAATTAGAACATAAAAGTTTAATTAATTGGTTTTATTATGATGCAAAATATTTAGTTTCAAAATTGTTTATCTGCGCATCTACGTACATAAACTCATACTGCCAACTTAAAGATGTTGAATTCATTTTATATACACAGCGAGTACAAACTAATATACCGGACGTTGTGTAATTAATGAGGCAACCAGTGGATACAAGAGTTGTCAGTTGCGTATGTATCGTTTTATAGTTGAACACCATTTATTCAGCTATAATTAATTTACGTATATATCGTGCCTGATGTCATATACTAGTATCAATACAAGTACTTTAAACATTTCAAGGTTTTTAATTTTTACGGATTGACTGATTTGATGTCGACTAAAATTCAGTAAACGCTCATAAAAAATGGATCCATTGAGGGCAGAGACTTGCTATAACTAGACCGCGCGTAACGTAGATTTTGCTATAAGCATTGAATAAGTACTTATTCAATGGTACAACTGTAAAGGCGCAGATAACCTGGCAAGTTACTTGCGACAATCTCGCACGAGAAACTTCCACATGTATTTACACTGTGAGCAATACGTGTCGCGATAAACTGTCCGGCAAGTTGGGTGAGCCATTGCTATCGCAATTTCTCACAAGTGTTTACACTAGCAACTCTTTTAACTTACGCAAATGCGGCGTTTTGGCGCCAATAGGACATGGTTGTGTTGCCGCGGCTGTAGTAGTTCGCTCTCATTAATCAAACTGCAAATTCATGAAAAAAAGTATCACTTTCAAAACTAGTTGTACAAATAACTATTTTTAGCGCATTTTTTAAGAATTAAAAAAAAAGTGGTGTTGTTTGCGTTTTGTCCGTCCGCCCGGACCCACTTCTAACGTTTTGTACTACTTTCTAGAGGAATGGTCCTAGAGTCCTGGAATTTTTGCAGTAGGTAGCCTATACCTTGAAGTTGTGCCAGACGGCCATGAAATTACGCTGTCTAAAAGCCCCCCCCCCCCGCCCCCACGAATTATTCCCTGAGATGCTGTTTTTGAAAGTAAAACGTGCATAGCTTTTACATACGACAACCAATTAGTCTCAGATTTTGCATACGCATGCCTTTGGTTGTTCTAAGTTAAACTTTAGCGAATGGGGGGGGGCGGGAGGTAAACACATGTTCTACGTCCTTCATAGTTCATGGTATTCTAATGAAAGGTCTCAACGAAATAAATTGGTTTGTACAAACTATAACTTTCCCGTGCGACTCTTTCGAGATCAGTGAGCGAACTAAAAGAACCGTTTTCTACCAACTACTGCCCTTTTTTCTGTCCTCTTATCAATGTACGGGGAGGAGGGGGGGGGGGAGTAGAACTAGTTTTATCCTTCGTGGTACTCTAATGAAAGGTCTCAACGAAAGGAATTAATTTCTACCAACCATAGCCCTCCTCCTCGGCCTCTTATCGTGATCGGGTATATTCACTTGTACCTCAAAAACGGATTGTCGGAAGAGGTTACTCAGAAAGGGCGATTGAGACGTCTGCAAGAAATATATCCAGTGGTGATGTCAAAACAAAAGCTATTTCGGTTTAAAAAAAATGCGTTTTATCTGCACAACAGTTGTGCACAATTTATACTTGTTTTTATACGTACGTCAGATGGCGCATTTCGCTGATCATATTCAAACAGCGAAGTATCGTTCGTTGCTAGGGTCAGAGAAGTTCAAAACAGGCAGAGAAATACTTCTCTGCCTTTTTTCCACTTCTCTGCCATTATTATTTATATGAAAACAGGAGACTTATCAAACGACCCGCGTATTTGTTTTTCCATGAATATTTCTGATAGCAAGAGTATCCGCCAAGGGTACTTTTTTTGTGCTCCACGTGTTTTAATTTTGGCTTTATCGTGCTAATTGCATGGTTTATAATATATAAAATTTATATAATCATTATCACATTTAATGTGATAATATGTGATAATGATAACTCTCCTAATCGAAGATGACTTAATTTACAAATAGTTGTGCGTGATATGGCTCATAGATTGCGAAATGTATGTTTGGTTTGTATGTTGGATAAGGTAGTTTGCTTGTCTACTTCTGACCTTGAGCGAGTCTGCCGTTTATATTTATTTCAATTACCGATATATTATGGTTTCGTTCCTAATTAGGTTTATTTACCAATCAGTAAATCAGGTTTCTTTGGACCGTTGACTTTAACATATGGCGTGATTGCGCGCGAGAAGGCGGAATAAAGTTACCTAATTCAAAACGATCTGTGAGAATTTGGACGTTAGCGCTACTTTTAAGGTGCCTGCGCAGAACACAGTTGATATTTAAGATGCACTACTTTAACGTGCTCATATGTGTCTTTTGCGTAGTTGGTGCACATCCCAATCAAACTGCCTGTTTTACGGATGAACTAATCCTGTTGAATGTGGTAAATTGCACTACTTAGACTTAGACGGTAACTTTCATTCCGTTTACAATGCTATGTTCTAGCTCTTTAGACATGGAGATCGCACACCAGACGCAGTGGAGATGTATCCAAATGATCCCTATAACGATGAATCTTTCTTTGTAGAAGGTTTTGGCCAACTTACTAAAGTGAGTATAAACGCAGGAGATCTATCCAATGTTTTAAACGCCGGACCGTTTGAACAGTACTTACCTATACCATAGCTTGTGATACTGATCTAAAATGTTTAAATATACAGTGCGTTCGAGATAACGCTTAACATCTCTTATTTTGCAAGATACGAAAAAATTGTCAAATGTAATTTTATATGTGAGCGAGTATGTGACATTAACATTTGTCCGATCGTATATTGAAACTTCCGGTATTATACTTCTGGTTTAACCGGTATTGCAGCAGCTTTTGTTTTTCAAATGCGATGGCTATGTTTTTAAGATCTTTGAAAAGAGCAATCATTATTATTGCTGTACAACATAAAATATGCATATCTGGTTGATATAAGAAAAATGGAGACGTTCGTGATTCAATATTTAGCAAACATATGAAATTTAGCATGCCGTGTCCATATTACACAGAAAAGACCTACATCAACTTGTTCAATATTTACATTTGCGCGCTACGATGTAACACAACAGACACCGCGCATCCTGACAGCACACGGTATGCTAGGTTTCATAAGTTTTCTAAATATTGAATCACAAATTTCTCCATTTTTTTTTTGTATATCAATCATAATGCATATTTTATGTTGTCGTACAGAAAATCTCTTTCCAAAGATATTTAAAAAAAAACGTAGGCATTTTAAAAACGAAAAGTTGCTTTGATTTACGATTAAAGCGGAAGTGATAACGGAAATGTAATTACGCCATCGGATAGATCGTAATAACACATATAAAATTATATCAGAAAAGATCTCGCTAAATAATGGAGATATTGAGGTGACCTTATCTCGAATGCACCGTATTTCGTACTTTACATTAAAGCGAAAGGTATGATGAATAATTTATTGCTTACGTTAAGTTAAGGAACGTTTCAAAAATCGTTTCCTCCTACAGTAATTGCAGGATTATTCTATACATTTCAATCATTTTATTTAGAACTGTAAAAAATAATTTTACTATTGCAAGAAAATATCATCTATTCCCCGCTCTCGGATAACCTTGGTTTCCGCGGCTGTGCCGCCTCATCTCGCCCACGTTTACTGCACCAGAAACCTTCGCGGGCATACGTAATTGATACGCTTGACAATCTATTTTCTCGCCTCTCGCCGTAAGTCAACGGTATGGCTTCTTCTAGTGACGTAGTAGATCCCCTTTGCGTCCTCTATTAGTTATTATTGTGATTTAAAATGACAATAGAAAAAAATGTTTTTACATCTTTCATAGTAAGGGCGCCTTCTATTCGTTATATTGCGATTTTTAATGACGGGAAAGAGAAAAATTGGTGTACTTAGTCGTTCTGAAGTTACGTGGGTAGGTACATTTCGGCGATTCATTGATATCCATATAGATTCCTTGGTGCATATTATGGATTTCTTAACCTGCTTTAAATATGGTACCCGAAACGCTCACCACAAATGTTAACTTCGTCCCTTCCTGTTTTTCAATTCTTGGAAGCGCCACGTCCAAACAGTCATTTGCGCTATTTTTTTATGTGACCAGTACCATTGTTTAAATACTTTTACCCTATTATATATACATAGCGATAAAAAAAGAGTGACCCTCGAGTCACCTTTGGAATTTTTGTTTACATGTGAAATCGAACTTCCAAAGGCGACTCGACAGTCACTCATTTTTGATCGCCCGGTATATTTTATTGCATCAATAATTGCGAAGTGGATCATACTGTCTTACCAAATATGCCACTATTGGATAAAATTCGTTTACATTTGTATTCACTCACTAAAGGGGGAAACATACCTCAATGAAGTATAATGATCGAAATTTTACTTTTACCACTGATGATATGTAAACCTGGGGAATAAAGGAAAATATTTTTAGAAAGGAAAAAATAGAGAATACCATATTGGTAGAAGTCTCCGGCAAATGTATGGGGAATTTTTAGGTCTTTACAAAACCAACGAGGTATCGGCTACCACAACTGATTATATACGTACTAAAATGTCTTGTTTACTAGTACTGGCAGGTTTATATCCACCATCAGGGAAGGAAGTGTGGAGGGATGACCTAAGTTGGCAGCCTGTTGCTTATAGCTATAATCCAGCTGGTAAAGACTATGTAAGAATTCAATGATGTTTGGTAAATCACTAATGCGTGTTTCAGCTCTTGGGTGATCCTTTTTTTGATTGTCCGAATTATAGACCACTGTATGAAGAACATTTGCGGTCGAAGCAGGCCGTTGCTTTAATAAATAGTCGAAAACCTCTCTATGAGTTTTTATCTCTACATACTGGGATGACTATGACGGTACCCAGAGACCCGTATTATTTACAATTGGTCCTCACTTCAGAAGTGAGCAAAATCAACCTTATATCCAATTATACATGCTTCCAATTCGTTCTTACAGGAAAACATTGGGCTGAAACTACCAGGGTGGACTAAAAACGTTTGGCCTGGAAATATTACGGACGCCGGAGTTGATGAATATTACGTTAATCTAGCTACACCTAAAATGCAAAGGCTTGCAGGAGGTATTTATGATAGATGGCTTAACCCTACATTAATGTGCAGTCAATGGAACCAGTATTTTATCTAGAGTATTTATTAATTCATTTTTAGGTGTATTTGTTAAGAAATTACTGGATGACATTGAGAACAAGATAAGAAATAGGCAAAATCCTATGAAAATCTACTTGTACTCAGCTCACGAGTACAATTTGGCTTATCAACTAATTTTTATGGACGTTTTTGACATGAAGTTTCCTCCTTATGGTTCTTACATTGTCTACGAAGTACGTAGAGTTAATAAAGTATACGGAGTTAAGGTAATCATGTCGACGTTCACGAAGGAACTGATTTTTTTCTTACTATCTTTTTAGATAAGGTACGAAGATTACTCCAAGAAGGATGGGCCTAGGTATTTAAAGATACCGCACTGTGGCGTTTTCTGTCCCTTAAGTAAATTTATTAAAATGTTGCAAAAATATGTTCCATTGCTGGAAGATGTGTGCACTAGCTGAAGCTTATAGAAAATTTTTGTAATGTGGGTGCGATAGATAGTTTTCTAGAGAATGTTTAAATTCAAAATAATAAATACCGCAATGGTTTGCGTGATACTGTTTGTTAATTGAAATTTCGTTGTAATAATTTCCTTCAAATGTCGACTGCATAGCTGAAAAACATCTTTCAACAATCTTTCAGAACATGTGTACCAATTTTCAATGGACAGATAGACAGACGGACGGGCGGACAGCAATACAAAATTAACAGCAATACAAAATTATTTAATAAAAGAGAAAGATTGATGAACTCGTGAACAGAATGTTACAGAAATTTCTCAGATTACGGCGATACTTATATTAAAGCGTAGACTGATCTATTTTAACACGTACCTTCAGAAATGCTATGTATTCAAAATAATTCAAAAGGTTGGTAATATTTAAAATTCCTGCAAACGTATTTGTCGAATACAATAATCAATTTTGCTGATGTTAAACTCAGAAGGGAAAATACCCCTAATTTTAAAGGTCTTAAAACCGCTGACTATTGTATCTATGTATAAGGTAAGACTAAAGGATATTTGTAACGTCTCCACTACGATATAATCATTGTAGCTGTTCAATTCTTTACTTATGCCCTAACGTGATGTCGCTGATATACAGTGAATTTTTTTAAAATGCGATGCAATGTAATTTCCCTATGTTCGATTTAAAAAAAACACATCAATCTATGAGGTATGCGCGGTTCACATTCCCAACAGCAAAACACGCAACTTGTGTGACTATGAACAGCAGCTTCATAGTCTTGATGATGAAGAGCCCTCGGTAAGATTTTTTTAAAGAAGCCATGTGAGGCCATAGCAACTTTAGGATACATTTTTCTTAAACTTACAATAACTTGACCTCACTCACAGGGTACGCGCTGGTACCACGACTCATTGTGAATCAACCTTCAATTATTTGTAGGTCATGTGCACCTGGTATTCTACTAACTTGATCTATTCAATACATAAATGAAGAAAATAAGAAAATAAATAACGAAAACCACTACAATAAATGTTCGAAGTGTCATTCTAATCAATAACTTAACCGATTTCGTAATTAAATTGGACGGCGGTATTTTTAAAAATGTGACAGTTGTCAATTGTATCTAACTACTCATTTGAACTACTCAATAGATTGATGTGTTTTTTAAAAAATCGAACATAGGGAAATTCCATTGCATGCAAACTCCTATGTTCGCGTTTTAAAAAAATTCACTGTATAATACTGACATTGGATCTACTTGGTTATGCACCTACCGCGGGTGTTTTACTGAAAACTCGGATAACAACCAGTCAATTGAAGTCTTTGATGTAATGTGTATCCTTAATCCTACCTACAATACAGCACTGGGTATGGCTGCCTTACATACGCGTTCTCTCCCATTGATTGCACGCAGCTATGTAAATATGTTTAGTGATGACGTCATAATACACCGATGACGTGCGGGAAGATCCTACATATATGTATCAAGAAAATTATGAGGATGTTAATTGCAGAAAGCAACTGTAACGAGAGCATTTATTTACGTAATTTTTTTTCCGATTATTGCCTTTTGATTTATGCGGAAGGAAATTTCTATGTTTAAAAAAGAGTCGATGATTTCAAGAAAATTCACCATAGAAATATTACTCGTGACAAGTTCAAGTGTTAGTTTGTCGATTGTAAAAGCAGCGAGCTTTTCTCATCTTTTTGCACGTTCGTCAATGAATTAGTTGTTCTAAATTGTTTCTATAGCCTCATTATCTGGTTTTGGTTTTCAATTACACGCTAGAAATAGGTTGTATTAAGTTACTTCTGCAACTTCACAAATTAAGCGCAGCTTGGTAAAAATAAGGTGAATTTACTCCGAAGCTCAGTAGACAGCCCTGAAAGTCCGGTGAAGCATTGTCGCGTATTATAAGCTTCTGTCTTAATTGAAGCGATGAGGCAGTACGGTGGGAATAGTTCTGCAACGTTTTATTGCGGTTAGTTTTGTGAAAGCGGTGAGTGTAGGTCCTAATTTTGAACAATATTTTAAAGTTTTATTAGTAAGATTGAGGATTGCTGAGCATGATGAACTTGAAATTTGAAGTGCGGGGTAGAAATCGCATTGTATCAGACCATTTAAACTCGCCTATAGTAAGGTCATCGTAATGCAAAACAGCTTGAAAGAAGTTGTCCGGCCGTACACATCGGGAGTTAGCGTACGGGTGATTTGTGCGTCATGTCTGATGTGAGATGTCCGTATCGTCAAGAATTATTTCGAACTTTTCTACTCCATGCAGCATTTGAATACTCATCTATTAAACCAGATTTACTGGAATTGGGTAACTTACATATCAGATTTTATGTAAGCCATTAGCCATGTAGCCTAGCTGATAAAGATCAAAACCACGGTACAATAAGACAAGGTATGCCTATAATACGTGACGTCATTGGGATAACTTGGCTCTACCGTTCAATAAAGTAATGGGGTTTGTGTAATCCTACCAGTTAATAAAAGTGTATCCCCTTCACGGATGTGATAAGATTTGTTCAATCCATGTCAACTGCGTCAAGTTTCTCACATTAAACTTACAAAGTATCAATTATTGCATGTTATCAATACAAATATTTAAAGTTACAATAAAATATGTAAGTAAAAAAAGTAAAACATATATTAGCGTTTTCAAATAAGGACGAGACCTCTAGCGGCAATAAAACAACTTAAAAGGCTAATTAAATTTCTGAAATAAGTATGTTAAGTGGTACGTTTAGCTTCTCTGCTGCCTTATATTTATATCTAAATGCATTCCGAGATGCCTTCAGTATGATTACTCAACCAAATTAATTGAGTAATTGCAATGGCACTTCTAAATTCAAGTATGAAGCATATGTCATTTTCAAACTTGGCGGTGATTCTTGTGACGTCATTGGGATAAAAACGTCATCTGCGTTTAGTTATAGGCATACCTTGTCTTATTGTACCATGATCAAAACCATCCATTACCAAACAATGACACTTCACTTTCCGACGTTACACTGATTTCTACCGCTTCGACGGTGGCACTTTTCTCGCCGCTATTCTGACGTTACCCACAGTATTTTAACGGTGGCTAAAAGACGGCACTCTCTTCGAGGAAACCGTAGCTTTAAGTAATTTTTGGATTGATAGAGGTTTATAATTGAATTTTGACGTACGTAGTAGTTTTGAGATATGAGATATTCGAATTTATTTAAGTATAAATCAATATTTCGTTAGCTAATATTATTATTACATACTTCCCTTGCGTCTTCCCAGTTTTATACACGGAGAGTTGACTATTGAAAGAAGCTGGGTGGCGCTCAACTTTTAGCTACAAGGAAGCGACGAAGATTTTAGGCCCGAACAAACCAACCGCTGTGAAGGTCCTCAAGCACTGTTATTGTTACATACTGAGCTAGCTGGCCGTTTATGCGGCGTTTTTTTGAACAGAAAGTGCCATATAAGTTCACGTCACATGTTAAGAATGTGAAAAGTTAAGGGAATCGTTGAAGAAAGTTAGGCATAAGCGCGTGATGTAATTTCCAGGAAATTCTTCGTGCCAATTGCAGTAATAGAAGACATTAAATTAATTGGGGAATTTTGTTGAGGGAAAAATACATAAAGCACGGCGTTCTAAAAATAAACTTAGTTCATTACCGTGCTCGAATTGTTGATAGTGCCACAGTGTATACATAACACGTGATATCCTACACGAACTCTGCACTTCCGGGTGATTGCAGCGTTTTGAAGGAGCAGCACATGAGCAGTTTTCTCTATAATAAAATTGAACGAAGAAAATTGATTTTGCTTTAAAATCACACTAACCAAATAATAAAAATAATCTACGTGTTTGGACCTTGCTGTAGTTCAATACTTTTTTATCACCGATTAATTAACACGCTACAAACCAAACGTACCTCGACATCTGAAGGGCTGAAGCAGATTTCAATTCGACAAGGAGATCTCGTCTAGACGTAAGGCGAAATCGTTTCCCCACTTCGGACCATTGTCCAACTCATACGAAGCCTGACCTAGACATTACCCTAACGTTACAATTGATCCTTCGACCCGGATGCTACATTTGGTCCTTCGAGCCTTTCAACCAACGGGTGCCGCGTTACCACAAGTGTTCCGGTCTCAGTGAGGTGCTACATTTTCCAGTGAGTTCTAGTGCCCAAAAGAGCAAATATGGCGATGGAAAAATTGACTACGGGGTGGAAACCTTCTCTTGTAATTGGGGAGAGCTTGTGAACGCCAACGACGTGATTAGAAGACCAGTTAAGATCTAATAATAATGTTTATTGTGATGTGTGAGCTTTTATAATCCTCACCTATGAAGTTACATATTTACATACTATAATTATAGGTACTACTCTGCAATGTATATTTGCAACTGGCACTTGAAAATTGGTAACTAACCTAGTTAGTGTTGTGCAGGTTGCTACATCGGTGTTCTAGTTTACATTAATAATAAGTACACATTTCCTAATCCTACATTAATTAGACAAATGACAGTAATTTTCGGTCGGCGTTTCTTCTTAAACATTCTGCCGACCGCGAATTACCTAATTACATTTTATGACATTTCTGCCACCCGACCCCAACAATTTGAAGGGATTGCTTCTTTTCTCCGGATCTTCTCTGGACTCCTTGTGTTATGAGGGGCGTGAAACCTTACAACCGACTTGTTTGGCTGTTCCTTTCGTACTTACTCTCGTACTGGAAAACTTCGTTGTTTAACCACGCACGTCGTAGTACTCGCTGTCTTTGACTGCTGCCAGAGGTTGGTTCTCTTCTCCGGATCTCATCTGGACTTCTTTGGGTTATGAGGGGCATGAAACCTTAAACCGACTGGCGCTGTTCCTCTCGTACTGGGGAAATTCGTTGTTTAATCACGTATGTCGTCTTTTTCTTCCTACGGCGTGTTTCCGTGTCTTCTTACACTGATGCAGCGGCCGTGTTGCTTCTTGCAGCCTTTATTAATTTTAAATGTTCTTACCCTCTCTCGTAATTGGGGAGAGCTTCGTTTGAATGCTGCTGACGCTCACTTGTTGAGGGTGAATAGCAGCTTCACTCTCCTGATTTAAATGGCTTGACATCCCTCGTGAACGCCAACGATGTGATTGGAAGACCAGTTAAGATCTAATAATAATGACGTCGTTCAGACAGTGCCAGTCACACCGACCACAAGGGCCACAACATGATTTCTATGCCAACAAGTTCTACAAGCGCCCAATCTTCGCCCTGTCAACGGCAGCTCCGGTGAGTGCGAACGAGACAACATCCCAAATGTAGGTACGCCTATTCGCCACGATACCTGGAAAAACGGTCCAACAAACGTTGGAATTTTAAAAATACGGGCATTCCCCAGCTATGGGACGACACACACGAAGCACAAGAAGATATTATGGTAAGCAGCGAAGTACGTTATATTTTAGAGGCCCATTACAAAATTGCTGAGTACGCACTTCACAAAATCATGATAGGGATCTGTGAGAAATAATCAGGAGAGGAAAATAACTGTTTGTATGTACCACATACCAGCCAAAGAAGAAGCCAGATGTGAGTTGGATGGATTCAGTAGAAGATCTTGGACAAAATTTACATAATGTATATTCTTTACAGCAGGTATTGCAGTTTCGAAAAATTACTAGGATTTATGTCATATGTTATTCGGTTCATCAAAATTATGAAAGAAGAGCTCAACAAGGTATACAACGGACCGCGTAAACGACAAGAATCCCAGTCTGTAAATAAGGTATGCAATTATTTCGCTTGGCCCAAGACGTTTATAAAGGAGAGATACATTGTCTATAGAAGTCATCATCTATCAGCTTGATAAATCGAGAATTTTAAATATTTCAATACAGAATAGAAAGAAAAAGTTTAAATCATTTTGGAATTTGTTAGTGACGTTAGTGGAACCCACCTGTCAAAACACGTACCAGTGGAAGTGCCTAAAAAAATTGCTATTTTTGTATCGTCCTTCAAGAATCACCGAAGAATTCCTGCTGATTATGGCGAGATTACGATACATAGAGCGAGTGTCATTTCAAAGTTCAAAACCGGGATCGCATTAAAAGATGTGCTTAGTCAGTATCAATGGCCTGAAAACAACTGGTGATTTCACGTGGCCGTTTAAGATATGTTTTCAGTGATTGACGTTATAGGCTATGACGTGGCAAAGTACATTTGTTCACCGAGGTTGTACAAATTTTTTTTTCCAGTAAGTTAAATGACATTGATGCTAGGTACACTGAGAAATTGAGCATATAACTAAACACATATATCTTCAGCTAGTGGCACATATTTCTGCAGAATATTGTTGAATTTATCCAGAGGGCAGAATGTTCCACAGGACGGTAAGCTGAGGTACCTAGGTTTTTCCTTGGAGTAGTCCTCGTACAGTATCTAAACAATTTCAATACATTTTTACGTCGTGTTGCATAGATATTTACCTTCACACCGTATATTCCATTTACTTTCCGTATTTCGTACACAAGATAAGAACCGTAAGGGGGAATATGAGGATTAAAAGCTTCTAGAAAAATAAGTTGGTAAGCCAAATTGTTTTCATGAGCGGAATATAAATAGATTTTCATGGGATCGGAGTTGTTACTTATTTTGTTCATGGTGTCGTCTAGCAGTTTCTTCACCAACACACCTAAAACGTATAGGTACCTTAGAAGAGATAAATGCCACCACGTCATTAATGATTAGCAACTATCATTGAATACCCCTCGAATAGAGATGCAGATTAGTGATACCATAATTTTCATTTTATCAGGATGACCAGAGTGAGGTCATCTTGAGAACGCATGTTTAACGAATTTTCAATGTACTACTCAAAATAAATTCTGCGTTGTTGTACACTGACCTGACCAATGCACTTGGTTGTGAAAATGGAACTTTTAGGGTCACGGCCGTCCGTCAATGATAGTCGATAATCATTATTTTCCGTTGTGAAATTGTATCTTTACATTCGAATGCAACTAATCACAAATATATTCAATGTTACCTCCGGCAAAACGTTGCATCTTAGGGGTTGCCAAGTTTACATAATATTCGTCAACTGATGCATCCGTTATATTACCGGGCCAAACACTTTCTGTCCACTGAGGTAGTTTTAAACCCAAGTTTTGCTGTAAATATCAATGATGCTTAATTGGTACCCTGATAAACAATTATTCACGTTACCTCTGATTGCAGTACAAATTGTAAATTATAGGGATCTCTAGGAATGGTTACATTCAGTCCAGTGTGTAGTGATAGATAATTATACAGTTCTGTTTTTCCTTGCATTAACTGTAAAGCTTGATTTGAAGACAAGTAATCATGATAAAGTTTTCTATACTTAGGGCAATCGTACAAAGGATCTCCCAAAAGCTGAAAAAACCTCGTCATTCATAAGCAGTTATGCATGTTTAATAGGGCTGTACATAATCTTTGCCTGCTGGATTATAATTATAGAACACAGGTTGCCAATTTAGATGTTCATTCCATATTTCCTTTCCTTTTGGGGGATATAGGCCTGCTAGCACCAACAAGCATGACATTTTAGTCCTTACATAATCCGTCGATATAGCCGATACCTCATCCGATTTGTATGATCCCAGAAAACTATTGTACTTTTGCCGCATACTGACACCAATATCGTATTCCCTATTTTTTCCCTTCTAAAATTAAATGGATTACTATACAATGTGGATCAAAAGACTCGCTTACCCTAGTAAGTTGTCCTAATCCTTCTGGAAAGTATGAGATATTGTTGTAAGGATCCTTTGGATACATCTCTATCAAATCGGGAGTGCGGTCCCCATGTCTGAAGAGCTGAGCGATTATGAACGCAACAATTGATGTAAATATTTAAGAAAATCTTACCACGTGCAGTAGGACTAACTCATCCGAATTGGAAGTGTTTTCGATAGGCCCTGCACTGACGATTAGTACAGCATTGTATAGAATAACAAGCACTAGTAGGGAAACCATCTCCTTCAATGTATGTATAGGATCTTTCCTTTTGAAAACAAACGATGTTACTATAAAGTTTTCATTTATGACACATGGTGAAATTACTGTAATTTGCCCGGAAAGGGAGATAATTACGTGTCATTGCAAATTATGTGGTGATAAATAACTGTCATCTAAACGTTACTTAAATTAAATCCTTGACCAATATTGATGAAACGTTCTTCCATCCTTATTACTTTCAGGATTGATGCTCATTATCAAATCTTCTCTCACATTGCTGATTGCGTGATGTAGAAGTTTCAATTATACGAAGGTCAAAGGTTGACAACCCATAAATGAAGATCGCGATTAAATTTTCGTGTTTTTGGAAGCAGACATTGTTAATGCCAATTGACGAATATTACACTAAGTAGCCCTCGACCACGATAGGGCACCTCAAAGCATGTAAGCAAATTTTTTTGAAAACCGAAAGGAGCATCAATCAAAATGTTTATTATCTACAGATAAGAATAAACAAAGTTTTTGTCGAGTTTCATAAATACCAGCTAACGAGACGAAGTACCATAGATTAATTGGGATTCCCTATTTTCTCCAATGTACGTATTCCATAGACTATACTAAAAATGTTTGACGGCAGAGAAAATATAGCACATTAGTATTTATGTAGTATTTGAACAATGGTATTATTATGAGCGATAAAGGCGAGCCAGGTGCAGACCAAGCGAAGTGAATTTTTGCACGATAAAATTGAAAATTATAGTCCAAAATTGACAGATAAGAATCAGCTAAGCCTAGGTTATTAAAAAATTTGATACTGTCGAGTTTTGGTTGGTGCTTACGTGATTTTATCTGTCGATTTTGGACTATAAATTTCAATTTTATCGTGCAAAAATTCACTTCGCTTGGTCAAAAATTATGATGGTGCAAAACTATGGGGCGCCGTTTGTGTCATAATTATATACACATAATAGTACCTACATTATATATCAAGGTAGAGAAGTCCAGTATTATTGTCTGAGGACCACTATTACATCTCGAGGCGCTTGCGCCGAGAGGTGTAAGGTGCGAAGGCAATAATAGACTTCTCTACCGTGGTATATATACTATTTTTTTCACTACTAGCACTTGAAATCCTCTAAATTAACATATTATATTGATAAGAAAGTGAACGGTTGGACAGAATGTTTTGTTTATTAATTTAACATGTTAATCAAGTACGTGGAAGTACAAGTCAAACAGGCCGTATTTTTTTCATTGAGGTATTTTCAAAGAGTAATTTCGTTCGAATTTTTTCAAAATGTGACAATTTTAGGTATGTAATTTCTCTGGAAGTGGCGGATGGTGGCAACTATTCATTTTAGAGAACTTGTCTAAACGTTTATTGGGCGAAATTTCGGGTTGTGTTTTCTAACAGTGACAGCGTGACAGTTTCCATTATTGACTACTAGTTAATAATGTCCACATTATTAACCACTTTGAACAACTGCCGAAAAAGCCTACTTTACAAGTGGAAAAAAGGTTAATAATCATGTCATCAGACGCTAGTAGTGAAAAAAATATATTTCTTTTCGCTGAAATATTATTATTTGGTCGATATACAGGCTCGCCGGTAATTCTCGAAATCGTCGATTATCGGGGCAAAATATACAAGATATCAAAAAAAGTTTTATAGAAAAGATGTGAGGTTCTTTAATGTCTACATACTCTACTAGGTAGTAGTTTTTTTATTATACAGAGTTGGTCATAAGTGAGTGGTATACTAATACTGCAATTTTTTTGAATAGAACACCCTGTATATTATTCGATATTTAAATTTTTCTCTGAATTTTGAACAAAATTTGTAATAAGCATAATGTATCTAAATTCAGTCATTTCCGAGTTATCGAGTTTTGAAGATTTAATTTATTTATTTATTTATTTTGCCTTTATTTTTGAGTGGGCGGGGTTTCAGCCAAGGCTGCTCTACCAACCCAACCCACTATACATTTACAAATATCCATGCCCGAAGCCGGATTCGAACCAGGGACCCTAGCACCACAGTCCAGTTTCAACTGAACTGCGCCACACGGGCCGGATAGATAAAAGGTATTGCTTTAAAATGTATTGAATAAAGAACAATAAATTCCTAAAGCGGATCTAAAAAAGTGACAGAGCACCGTGGTTTGACCCTATGGCGTAATTGAGACAGAGAGGCGTGACCCAACGGGGTCATTGTATTTGACCCATTTTCTATTGACTTGTTACATGTGGCATGTAGGTCAGCTGTGCAAAGTTTTAACCGAATCGATCCAAGCGTTTGGCAGTTATCGTGTTCAAGGACGGCCAGGCGGACCGACGGACACCATCGACCCCCCTATAAAGCTTATATCGCTTTGCTATGTCACTTAATAATTAATGACATCACGAATTTCTTTTGAAAACGTTCTGTGGTTCTGAAAAGGGCCGTTTGTGAAGTTTGTTATGATTGTTTGGAATCATTAATTATCGTTTTTTGTTCAATTATTAATGAAATAATCTCGGAAATACTGAAATAATAGCCTTAATTTTCAAAACTCTCGGAAACGATTGAATTTAGGTACATTATGCTTATTGCAAAGTTTACTTAAAATTGGGAGAAGAATTGAAATTCTGGAAAATATACAGGGCGTTCCATTGAAAAAAATGCAATTTTAGTGTGCAGGGCCTTAATGAGCAACACTGTATAATTAAAATTATTACTGCCTAGTAGACATTTTCGATATCTTGTATATTTTCACCGATAATTGACCGTTTCCAGATTTACCAGCTACCCTTTCGACAGCACGCCTAATTTAAAACTTTCAGTTCAGTGGCGCGACAACAGATGGCGCCAGTTATCGTTATCGTGCATCTATCGCGCATGACAACATTGCATTTGTTTGACGTTTTAAATGGAAGAAGGAAGTGCGGCACACGTATTTGAAAATTTTAAATAATACCTGTATAAAAAAGTTGACATTGCACAGTTTGCGCATGCGCACATTTGCTTTTTAGAATATGCGATATGCTTGTATTTACTAGAAGCATCTGTGATTAAAATTTCAAAAAATATCTTAATCGTTTCTTCGACCCCATGGCAAAACACGTTGGTTTAGTCCGCGAAGTACAAACAATCTCTTTCTGAAGTTTCTACACTTACGCTTTGCTATGCTGGCCACACACAAAGTTGAAATATATCCGTTATAAACATAGCATTTGCCGAAAGCGTGGATACACGACTAATGATAACTATGTATATACTTAATTCACTATATACCATAGATTAAAAAAACAATTTTTAATCTCACTATACATATAAGAAAACTCAATGATTTTTAACCTTTGTCAGGCGGTATATTTCTATTTTTGCATAATTCTTGGTAAATAACTATCTGCATGCGTGGAGTGAATGATATTTATTGGTCCCACTACAATTTACTCATTATAATGAAACTTCCTTGAATGTAATGATATCGAAAGTAGTTATTCGATATACTTTCCGGTAATTAGAGTAGACAAGGACGAGAATAATATATAACTTCATTAAATCTTTTGAAATTATGGAAGTTTAGTAATAATGGCAATATAAATGGTGACTTTCCAAAACGCTCAACGTAAATAACCTCAAGTCGCATTGGATCGACCAAAGAGATCGTCTGCGGTAAAACCGTTGAATGAAAAATAAAACCTTTGGCTGTCGCTTGCAATGTATTCCTGTTATGCCTATTTATTGTGGTGACGTGCTGATTTTAGTTTTTTATTTTTTTAAATTTTTATTGATTTATTATTATTATTATATTATTATTATTAGTAGGTATTAGCGAAACTGCTAAATCAATTGAAATCAACCTAAATGGCGATATGGTATACTGGTATAATGACACAGGATCTACCTAACCCCTCGGATCATAATTCTTTTACAGATACAGATACAAAAAACAGAAGTCTTAGAGCAAAATTGTACGTGTACGTTTTTTTTTAGAGAAAAGAAATCGCGCAGGCGGCTGAGTTCTGCACTGAAGTACAGGTTAAGACCTCTTTTCCACAGTTACATAATTTTTTTAAGCACTATCAAAAAAATTAAATTTTTAACTGACCGCCAAATGTCATATTTAAAAAAAAATTTCAAATAGCACCTCCCTAAACAAATTATATCTCTGGGTAGTGAAAACTACAAATTTTCCACTGATAAAAAAAACCACTCATTCCATAAGAAAATTTTAGAGAAAAACCAAACCGAAAGGCCATTTTAAAAAAAAAACCGTATTTTCCGAACCCAAGTGTGCCATGATGACACAAAAGATGGTCAATTCTCACAATTAACAGTAAAGCGTCAGCAGTGGTTTCTTAATCAGCGTTGCAAACATGTTCCAAACTCAAGCAGGAATGGTTGATAAAGTGTTTATTCTTAGAGATCGTTACCGGAATTGTTTGCTAGCGTCAGTATACACAGAAGATGTAGATTTTCCAGACCACATTTTGGGATCTAAGGGTGTGGAACTGAACGGCGTATCAACCCTCTGCGATCGTGTAATATCCTATGACAAAGGGGTGGGCCTTCAGCCGACGGCAATCTGTTAACATCCAAGCAGCTATTAAAATCAAAACCGAAAGGTCATAAATGCTTGTGATGCTTGTAATAGTCAATTGGTGCAAAGATTTCCAAATGCTTCAGTACGACCACCACAAGAAAAATTGAGTCATTTACTTGAGAGCTAGCTTCGTAAATTCTTTGCGGCTGGTGTACATGAAGCGACAAGGAAAATTTTCAATAGATGTGGAAGGTGGATGCTCTGCCACTGATACATGCAGCAATGAATCGTGACCGTTTCAAGATTATCATTATTATTTAAAGAAAAAAATGATGCTACTCTTCATTAGATTTCGGTCAAGAACGCCAAAAAGTAGATAATGCTGCACCAATACGGGATATCTGCACAACGCTCAACATTGACAGCAAGCCTACCCCTCCTTCCAGTCTTACTAATATGATGAGCAGTTGTAATTGAAAAAATACATTTCATACGAAGGATAAAATGACCATAATATCGATCGAAAATAGTTCTGTCTAAACTTTAGACTTAACTTATTTTATTTCTTACTTTAGACTCTCAAGTAAGAAATAAAAAAGATCTGGGTGTAATAGTATTTTACATTATTAGCCAGGTAAGTGAGTTTTTACTGGCGATAGGAGAAGTTGACTAGCGAGCCGTTAGGCGAGCTTGTCATCTCCTAGAGCCAGTAAAAACTATTACCTGGCGTATAATGTACAATATTTTATTTGTTACTCATTTGTAAACAATAGTAAATGTAAATAATTAGTTCTTAAATTGATCTCGAAGAAATGTCTAAAATATCATGTTATCCATGTAACAGAGGCTTCGCATTCATTCTGGCCAATGAAATTACTAGATTACTAACTTGTAAAATTTTTACAGGTCTGCTGTCAGTTTTACAGGTCTGCTGTCAGTTTTACAAGTCAGTAGCGTTTAAACATGACGTTTACCCGTTTGCGTTTTGTCTTGTTAATCAACGTTTACAACTGAGTAACAAATAAAATCTATTTCTGCATTTTTTACACTTACGCGTTCCAATGCTGACGCCACTTACCCTACAAAGTTGAAAAATCTTATTCGTAAACTGTGGTTAAACAGAGCACTTTCAGAAAACGTGGATACACGACTAATAGCATTGAATTTATAAATTCAATCAATCAATGCTAATAGTAACTAAACACTTAATTTACTATCAACAGAACACAATTATTTTTAATATAAGTAAATAAATATCCCATTATTCATACAGGTAATTAAGACCTAAGACTTTCGTTCAAATTAAATAATTGATAGGTCTTTTGTTTCCATTTCAATATAGTATGTTATTTACAGATGTCCATTAGTGTGCACTGTGGATATCATCACAAATGACTACTCTCTACTGTTAAATAATTATTCTAGGATTGTGCTAATTTTCCGTTACAATGGACATAAGCAAAATATCCGAGGTGTGGGAAAAGTTTACCAATTATGTGTTGAATATAGTTTGCTAATTTACTAAACATGTATTTTGTACAACAGTGTCTTCGTCCTTCAGAAGTTATTTTTATCGCGATCACGGTAAAATCCCGTTCTCTATAAAACGACATTTATTTCCAAAACTGACCAGTTTAAAAAAAAAGCACATACAAAAATTTGCGGTATCACACTTTGGAGTAGGGTACATAGACTCTTGGTTTCTAAGAACACTGGCAACACAATTCGATAGTCAAATTGTTGCTAATTAGTAATTACAATACAAAAGAAAAGTACTTTATTGTAAATTCCGCCCGCGACCTGGATTACTCTTGCAACATTAACCTCGAAATTGTTAATGACAAAAATACCTATATGACTCGTCATTCATTGTACCAAAGATAGGTGTAGTATTAATTATTATCTTTGATTGTACGAAAGGCTAGATGAAAATATCTCCAAAGCACTTACCGGTATGTAAAGAAGAGGAAACGCGCTAGAGTTGGTAAATGAAAATGATGCGCGTATGTTATGTGGTTCTGCTTTAAACTGGCACTGTAAAGTCGAATGCGAATTATTAACCAGTTTTGTTGTGTAACGTAAATTTAATTAGGTAAGTGATTTTATTTCATACTATCTAGTAATCGCCGCTTTCCCAGACTGATTTGAGTCTGGTAAATCGTATTTTATTTCATACTGTCCGGTAGATGTTCGATTACACTATCATTTTGAGTCCGGTAGGTGAGTTATTACAGCATCAGAGCCGGTAAGTGTCGCTAAGCAACACTTACCGGACTGTTATTTGTATACTTCAAATTTGACATCTTCACACAATTAATTGAAAACCCCAACATAAATTTGACTGTAATTCTTTATTTCAAACATTAACATTGATTGTAATGAAACAATTTGTATTGCCCTCAACACTACGCCTGGGTTATTACTGTACGTCGAGTTAGTAATGTTTGATTCCTTCTGCTGTAGAACTTCAATGAAATGTTCGCCGCCTTGTATCAGTTGTATCATACGGGCAATCTTAACTTTTTCTTCTACCGAGCCTTCGATGTATTTTTCTGCCGTCGATGAGCTTTTCCATGCTCCATGACACTTTAACACCGAAACCCAGGCAAACAAATCTCAATTCAAAAACTTACTGCGTCCAAAAAGTATGCCAACATGACTTTTTCCTCTACTTGTTTCGCCCCATGTTCGTTGCTCAATTGGCAAAACACTTAGTACTCTTTTTCATACCTTGCGGCCGACTTCTTAGGAACCAACTTTTCGGTTGCTTCATGAGATTTCGACAGGATTGTATCGGGAAGAGTGGAACATCCCACAACGTTTATAACGTCAATTTTTCAGTGAAAAAAATTCAATTGTCAACAAACTACAAACTATAGCAACGGCCGTTGCCACAGAAACAAGGTAATGCGATTTTTACAATATGATGAAATTTTGTAATCTTTGAAATGAAATAATGATACAAAACAGACTTACAGTATGAAATAAAATACGTTACGATATACGTGCGGTAGTACTTGTAACAGTACTCGTTTAAGACATTCTTGACTCGGCTCCTGACGTCGCCTCGTCCATAATGTCTAACTCGTACTGTTACAAGTAACCTACCGGACTTATAACGTAAATAACTATTACCAGACTGAAAATTTTTACCAGACTGGAAATTTTGCCTAGCAACCGCAACTGACATCCATCTAAACGTGATATTTGATTGATTGATTGATATTGATATTTGTCAAACTACTGTCAGATCAAACAAATCAAGTGATCGACTTTTGCTTTTATTTTAATGTGTACCTACAACATTCTAATCAAAATGGTTTTTTAATAGAAATAGAGCAGTATGAAATAAAATGTTTTACATTATTTGTATGTTAAATCAGTTAACGTTACTCGTTTCGAAATTCCTGCCTCAGCTACGCTTCGGCAGTAAACATCTCACTCGTTAACGTAAACCTTGATTTACCATACTCATATGTAAATAACTATTTTTATATAAAAATTCATTTTTCATGTTCACAGAAACTGACACTAAATGAAAATGTCTCCGCAAACAGATTGATTTATAACTGTTAACGATTATTTATCACTTACGGCTTGTATTCGAATTTATACCACGAGCGCGAATTTCACTATTTATGACTTCGGCCTCGATCTTGAGACCAGACTAAACGCAAATCATTTTGGTTATATAGCAAACAAAAACTTTCTAAAGAAGTCTCGAATCAGCGTATCATATTTCATGGCACGACTGAGTCATGTCCGCTTTCATCCTTATCGTCTAATCCTTTATCGCCTTGATATCTCTAGAAAATTCGATACAGTTGGAAAGTCTTGTAAGAAATTATTTTTCACAGTGTAAAATAAATTCAAGTTAACAAATTAGTGTACTACACTTTATCTTTTATAAATGATCGCAGATTAAACAAATCTTTGGGGAAGCTCAATATTTCTAAAATAATAAACCGATACAATGAAATATCGAAGGATCCTTAGTATTACAATCACTTTCAACGACAATTTATTTTAATCTGACAAAATACCTACATTTTATAGTTAACAAAATATGCATCAAATTCATGTCTTAGGCATTGAAATAATGCTATTAATTTTGTTCCCAACGATCTCGATGCAAGAATAACGATTTTGACATGTTATTTGATGAAAATGCACGTGGTCGCTAAAAATAGATCAAATTCATGTTTTGTTCATTGAGATAATGCTGTTGGTCTTTTTCCCCAACGATCTTGGTGCATAATAACGATTTTAACATGTTTTGAACAAAATCCATGTGGTCGCCAGAAATGCATCAAATTTATGTCTTCAGCATTGAGATTATGCTTTTAGTTATTTCCCAACGATTTTGAAATATTTTGATCACAATCCATGTGACCTCAGAAAAATAATTTAACATCGTTGAATCACACATATGCGGTTATCAAATGAGCACGTGATGTACTCTTTCAGCATCAAGAAAATGCGTTTGAAACCTCCAAATTCATGTGTAAAGAATAATTTATTTTGGATACATTTTGCTCTAAAACTTTTGACGGCCTGTATCACAGAGAAGAGTTATATTAACTTGTTACACATCTAAAGGTCATAGGGAATAATCTAGCGAAAGTCCGAACTCGATACATAACCTTGGCAATGAAATCTGCTGATTTCTATTATCTTGAGCCTGCAGCTATGGCTCTTCCTGATTCACTTGAAGTCCTATAACTTTTTTTGCCGTTGAACCAGCTTCCGGAAAACCAATAGCGTCTGTCCTTAATCTCCAAAGTGTACACCAAATTTCAACACAATCGGTCACTTTTGAAAAGAGTTAGAACGCACACGGGCGGCCGGACGACAATACAAAACTATAAAGGATTTGAGGATCCTTAATACCGTAACGACGGTTCCTTATTGCTACAGAAGCGTAAAAACGGCGTTCAAAAGTAATTACGTCCGCAAGCATTGACTACGTTTACGCCATATGAACGTAGTGCATAGGTTCAATTCGGTTTTTGCAGATCCTGATGAAATAGGTATGCGGCATAAACGGTGCAGGGTTTTGGTGGGTCGGTGTAGTAAAGTGTGATGTGGATAACCGAATTGTGTACACTTTAGCGCTAAGTAACATTTTTCCTCGTAGTTGTGTTTTAAACATCTAAAACATAATTTCCTCTCTTTTACTACCCTTATTTCACTGATAGATAGCTCCCTAAACTTTGGACAGTTTTAAAAGCGATGCTGCTGTATGCAGTTAGTAGCACGATATGGATGACGCGTTCCTCCAACTGGGCTTAGAGATGGTATCATCTATCTGATTACAGTTTCTTGACGCCATTACTTCTAGCGAATGACACATCGTCTGCATAAACTGCATCACTTCCCCTAGTTCTGGGATTTCGTTTGGCTGTTTTAGTGACTGCTCAAACAACCTATTGGATTCTGCGTCTCATTTTCTTGCGATGATCCTAGGTACCATTGGACAACGAGACCTTCATATAATCAAGATCGAACATCACTTAAGGTAAGTTCGTTTGATCTTGTAAATATATTGCTCAAGTGTTGATTCAGTGGGTTCAGTACTTTAGATCGGGTGGGGAAAAGATTGCGGAAGGAACGACGATATACCGCGATATCTGGTCCTCTATCTCTTGCATCCTCTTACAGGTTGTAAATTGCGTAAGTACTTATATTAATAGCCGCGTATCACTTGAAAGTAACCATCAACCATAATTTCAAGTGGGGGAAAGACCACGTTCTAGGTGGGGATCAGCCCCATCTGGCCATGGGCCTGACGGGATACTAACACATTAATTATTTATCGCTAGTCTAGGGAGACATTAGATTCACATTCTTTCGTGTAATTCATTGGCATGTACGGCTGCATCAGCTTTTCCAATTGCGCCAATTCACAAACTGCACCACACTCTGTTCCAGAAAAAGTTCCCCCGGTTGCTTATTCGTTTTAATTCATTTTTAATAGCCGAACAATAAAATTTGGGATTCCTGAGTTTCTGCGAGAAAACATGTACTGCAACGGAATTGCTTGGTTAAGCATGTTCCTTACAAAATCCTGTTTTTGTTCCATGTATTCGTACAGGTCACTCCGATTCAGTAGGTCCGTTAACTGTTCGGATAGAGATGATGACGGAAACAATCCCGACAGAACTGCTACCGTGGTAAGCTTGGTCCTTTCTCGGTTTGTCGATAGCGTTTGTATAACCTCAGGTGTAAATGAATCTGGTAAGAAACCTTGGTAGCGACTCCTTAATATAGAACCAAGTTTGTGAGACTCTTCTATTCCTATCTGCACAGATGTCAAGGAGGTATACATACAATAAACAAACGGACATTATAGAGGTGCCAGTCTTTTAATTGCCAAGAACAATCCCTTAATTATTACGTAATGAATCGTCTATGCTAAAGACCTTACGCAGACCTTAATACAGACCAAATAAATAAATTCTGACTTTTTGGTATGCAAAAGAAATTCAAATGAAAGTTTTGCTTTTTGTAGGCCAAATAGACATTGAAGACCAATGGAACACCATTTGCAATATAACGGGTGTCCCAAAATTAACGCAAGATTTGAATTTGCCGCCATTTGTGCGGTGAAGTGTTGGCAACCCTGAAAAAAAAGCAATTTGACAGCTAACAGTATAGGGTTATTAAAAATGGAGCGTTACACGATAGAACAACGTGTCTTCATTATTAAAGAATATTTCAAAAATAGTGAAAGCTTGGCGGCTACAGTTCGAAAATTTCATACAAAATATGGTCGGAATAGTGTTCACATTCGAACGGCTTGTTTTTGGACGACCAGTGTGTTTGGCGTCTCCAACGGATCCAGTCTGAATTTTTCAATTAATCTCTTCACAGTTGACGAAGTTAAAACACTATTCCGACCATATTTTGTATGAAATTTTCGAACTGCAGCCGCCAAGCTTTCACTATTTTTGAAATATTCTTTAATAATGAAGACACGTTGTTCTATCGTGTAACGCTCCATTTTTAATAACCCTATACTGTTAGCTGTCAAATTGCTTTTTTTTCAGGGTTGCCAACACTTCACCGCACAAATGGCGGCAAATTCAAATCTTGCGTTAATTTTGGGACACCCGTTATAAACCAAACCAGGTTCAACAAGTATTAAAAAAAATTAACCTTTTTTTATATAATACAGATACCTACAGGCGTTAGTTTTCCATATCCAGTTTTTTCCCACTGAGCTGCATTGATATCGTCAATACAGACTTCGTACTTTTCCGGGGTTCTTTTTCCATGCCTAAAAAACTACAAGACCTCGTATACAATGAGCTCGTATATTATAGTTGATAATGAATTGATTATTTTGTTTAGAAATGCATATTTTGGTAATTGGTCAAACTGTTCTTACCACATGAACTAATTCCAATGAGCAGGTACAATATCCACTAAACAATATTACGTTTAACAGGAATATCAATAACATTTTGTATCAAATTATGTTTTAATGATCGCTAAATTTATCTATCTTGTTTAACGAAAAGATAAACACGGGCAGTGATTACGTCAAAGCTGCTGGCGCACGATATAACGTTTATAAAAACTACACGATTTCACAATAACTTTTGGCAGATATTGACTTGAAGGATTTTTATCAGACATTCCGGAGAAGAATACCAATTCTAACAGGTCGGATTATTGTTACCTAAATGATTTACTTTTTACTTAAAATATTTTGTGCATTCATAATATTTGTTTGTTTATTGATTTTTGTTCATCAATGCTGTTGAATTGTATAAGTCGTAATGTCGCATAAAGACACAAATTAGTATTCATCTATCAAGTATCAAGATTCTTCAAGAAATTCGTTTAGGAAAGTATCAAATAGTAGCCCCAATTTTTAGCTAAACCTCTAGGCGGACTAAGAAAATGCATATTGCCGACTACACCAGTAATTTGACGGCTTTTTGTCGCAAAATTAGTGTAAAAAATGTGGCATCGGTTTTATTGTTTTTTTTTTTTTAATTTTGCTCCTTTCGGCCAAGTTAGCACCTTTACCAAATTTTGATCAACTTAGCCAGATGTCGATGTTATAAGAATATAAGCGAGGGAGCAGAATGCCCAGTTGCCAAAAAATAACAAAGAAGCAACAGGTTAGCGCATTAAATACAGCCACCACTTTGATGCCGGATAAAAGATGCCATCTATCAATACTTATAGAGTACCTACCTATACTTGATTGCTCGATGCCCATGTAATATCTCACGCGTTTTGGTACAGAATATGCTTCCGATCATGTTGCAATGTTAATATGCACGTAGCTACTGTCATTGATTATACAATAATCAATGCTACTGTGTAATGTCATGAACTAATTATGGCATTGAATAAGTAATCATAGGACTTATTCAATGTCTATGGTAATACCACAGATATATTCCTTACGTACGAGTATATCTGTGGTAATACCAATCACCAAAGAGTAGAATACCCATACTCTTTTGTAATACATTTGCAAGGAACGCATAAGGATGTGTATTGTTGGTGGTCTATAACCAATTGCAATATCAAAATCTAAATTGACTACAGAATGAAGTACGATAAGTTGAATAACCAAAACTTTTCGTGGTTTGAAACGTTTGAAATGTTTATTTTTTAATATACAGTAAGTTTAAGCAAAGAGTAAATTATGGTTACTCTTTGGTTTAAGGTCCAACGAAGTCTAGAGACTTATCTGTTGGTGCCTTATTATATTATGTACATTGTGTAACTCCTACTTATTTTACATTTTTCTAGCGTCGTTGGAGTTCGGTGCAATGTTGAAAACAAATTCTACAAATTGCATGGATGCGTTTTGTTTAAATGTAAGTATATTTTATTGTATCTTAACCACTTCACTTCACACTATTGTTTTTGTCTGTAACCAGTCTCTAACCCCCTTCTTGAACTCGCTCAATACTGTGATTTCTTGTATGCCGTCCGGTAGGGAATTAAAGAGAGAAGGGATTACACACTTGATCGTCTTTTGTCCATATTTGTTGAAGTAGCGTGGAACATTGTCAGTTGGTCTTCTTGTTGCATGCCTGTGCTCAGTTCTTCTTTTGTGTTCATTTTCCCCGAAGTATTGTACCAGATGCCAATATTTGTAGTAATTTGTTGGTGTTAATGTGTCACACTTTATTATTAGTTCGCGTTTATTTTTATTGCCTTGTTTGTGTATTAATTTTAGCATTTTATGTTGCAGGCTCTCCAATTTCTTTTATGTGTACTGCTTCTGCTGATCCCCAAACTTGAATTCCATACCGTATATGCGACTCAACCAGTGATTTATAAACTATTATTAACATTTTAGTATCAACATCCTACCGTTCTTTTTAATTTACTACATATATTATTTATGTGTGTGTCGTATTTTAATAGTTTGTATTATTTTACAATTGCAATAAATGGATTGTGTATAACATGTGCATTTGTGTATTTTAATTTCTACATCGCTTACTCTCTGCATGTGCGCTGTATGAAATACCATTGTGACAGTTTTATCTTCGTTTATGAATATGTTTCAGCCATGTGTCCATTTTACTAGATTGTTTATTTCTTCTTGCACAATGTTTTTACACGTTCATGTTTCTCGGTGTGAATACATTAATACTGCGTCGTCGGCGTACATATATAACTGTGCTTTTTGCATAGTTAGAGAAATGTCATTTATATATAACAAAAACAGTGTAGGGCCCAAGTTACTGCCTTGGGGAACTCCGCAATTGGAAGCCCTCTTTGTACTAAATTCATTACCAATCTTTACAATGAAATATCGTTGTTTTAAGTAGCTTTCAAACCATAATAATGCTCTGTCTGCTATTCCAACACTTTTTAGACACTTTAATAATACGTTTGGTTTTATAGTGTCAAACGCTTTACTAAAATCAATGAATGTTGCAATGGTATAGTTATTTTTATCGAGTTGTGTATTGATGATGTCTGTTACTTTTAGCAAAAACTGTTCAGTTCCTTTCCCCTTTTGGAATCCATACTGGTTTCGACTTATGATGTTATTTGTAGTTAAGTATGTCTTTAGGTGCCCTGTGACGTATATTTCTAGAACCTTCTCAATGGTCGGAAGTATACTCAGTGGTCTATAATTGTTGTATTCTAGTGCGCTACCTTTCTTGTGTATTGGTCTTGTGATTGAGACTTTCCGCATTTCTGGAAATACTGCGCTCCTTAAGGATCTATGTACCAATTTCGTAATTATGTTTGCGAATATGGGTTCATTGGATTTAATGTCGATTGTCCTAATGTTATCATAACCCGGAAACTTTTTTACTTGCAACCGTTTTTTAATTATGTCCACAATTAGGTTATTTCAAATATTTACCTATACCATTTTATATCCAAATACATATACAAATACGTGCATAGCACCTATACATACAATGCGATGTGTTGAATCATTAGAATGTTATCGTGAAAAAATTTGATGTAATAGTTATTTACCTAACAAGTTCGGTAAGTTAATTTTCCCGCATGAGCACTTTGTTTGCAGCACGACCGTAGGGAGTGCTGCATTTAGTGCGAATGCGGGAAAATTCTTTCCGAAAGAGTTAGGTACAATATTTTTTGTAACGAATTACGTAAAAAAAAGGTCAAAATTAATAAAGTTTTGTAAATTAGTTTTTTTTTAATCATGAGTTGGTAACACAATCATATGTTTGGTTGGTAACATAATTTTGTAACTACCATTGCACTGGTCACATTTAAAACTTCCACATCTTTGGTTAATACATATTTTGCCTTTGCAATGAGTGCTACTACTGGTCACGGCATTGCATCGTTTGCACTGAATATCCTTGGAAGTCGTCAATGTTAACAAATATGCTTTGAAAAGAGTGCTCTTATTGGTCGCGTAAGTGTACTGATCGTATTTAATATTCCCAGAAGACATGTGTGAAGAAATGTGTTCTCAAATTTGATTTATCTTGAGTTGCGTAAATACACTCGTTACATTTAAAATCCTTGGAAGCTTTGTGTGTGTTAATATGTGCTTTCTTAAACTGCATATGCGAATAGTTGCAGAATATCACTGGTCACATTTTAAGACGTTTTAACAATAAATTTTACTTTTTCTTGAGTTCCAATTCTGAAAAATAATTTGATTGCGTTATAAGTTCTTGTTTATATATTTACGTAAAACTTAGTGTACGTCTGTTTCCGATTAATCGCACTAAATACCCTCAACCAACGGTTTAATTGATTTTACAGCAGATGACAGTTAACCATGACATGACGTTCGTTGACTTCAATAAGTACTACCAACCGAAGAACGCGCATAACCCCTTCTCTCCAGCGGAAACTAAAAAACACCGCGATGCGGGAAAGTCGTTTTCCCGTGCATCGAGGATGCTTGGAAACATTATCTTTCCATTCAATGAGTACAAAAAATATTATAAATTATGCTATAATTTTTTTAAAAACCTTTAAGGAAAATTGATGAATTTGGTATCATTAGAAAGATAAGGTCATTTAGAATTAAATTTGCAGCTAGGGACCCATGTTTGAAACCATTCGCAAAGTTGAGGGTTCGCAAATGGCGTTGTTTGGCCAATAAAATCATGCTGTTGGTAGAGTATCCACACTAACATATCATTGAGTAATTAAGTAGGAACCTTCACTCAACGCTTGTATCACAATTTTATTGCGAACTCTCAATTTTTCCCATGCTCCAAAAATTGATTGCTTTAAATTAATAAACCCGTTGCATCAAACGATAATCGTTGCAATTAATTAAAAGATAAAAGAATAGTGGGGAAGCAGAAATGTTGTCCACCTATTGCGTTTGAATAAAAGATCACAGAGATATAGAGAAGCTTTTGAATTTTAAATGTACTAATCTATATCTATTTATTTCTAATAGTTACTCCTTACTTGAACTTCAAAGCGGCATCTGTGTTTAACACATGTTGAACCCCTAAGTGCGAACCGGTATTTACGTCCCCCTCAGGCATTTTACAGTTAGCTCATATATATATTGACATATGATCTAAGATTTTTAACTGTTTGTCTTCGAAACTAAGGGTTGACAAACTCGGCCACCGGATTGCACATTGTGAATTAACTGATAGTATAGATATACAAACTTGTAATAAGTGCCTAACTGATATGGTCGAGTAGGTGACTATTCAACATGGTAACTCTAAAATCGATATAACCACTCCTAGCCCTACAAGTCGAAAAATGCGATTATAAGGCGTTTGATGATTAAAGCAAGCCACTTTGCTGTTGTCTGACTGGCAACCAAACTGACGATAAAACTCCAAGACTCCAAAACAAAACTTCAAACTACAGCAAACGTGGATCTGCTCTCAAACTCGCAATACGCTGATTTCAAAATTTAAGCAAACGTAGTTTCGCTCTGAACTTGGCAAAAAGCTGAATAACTTCTCCAAAGAAACGTAGTTCTGCCTTGACTGTGGCAAAAAGCAAAATTTTTAAAAAATCATGAAACGTAGTGCTTCGTTAACTTTGGCAAAAGGCGTTAACGTGGAAACCCTTCTTCCAAAATTACAAACTAAAATATATAAGCAGTTGACAACAGAAAATTTCCCCCCTAACGTACGTTAAACTAGAGGTAGAAATTAATTTTATAATCAATTTTTAACCAACATTAAGAGATAAATAGCGATATAAAATTCTCAGAAATCTGAATAAAATTAAAAATGCGATTAAAAAAAAATGTAAACAAAAACAACGTTGACTCCTTTCTCGTATGACAATAATTTCTGTTTCAGTAAATAACCAACGACACAAAACAAAAAAATTAAATTATGAACATTAATCACATGGAAATAGGAACCCGCCCTTGTCCATTCTACTTACGAATCCCAAAATTTCGTCCTGCCAGACGAAATAACACAGCATTTATCCCCCCTTAAATTGAACAAAAAAAAATCATACACACCCCCCAACTACTACAAACAAAGAAATATTGGAATTACAGGTTTTTGTTTTGTTTTTTTTTCAATTTACCACTAATCTGCCTGGAATAGTTCAGGATTTGCATTTGAGGTTCGGACACGACCTCACAAAAACAAAAAAAAAATTTGTACCGTATATACTTGACAAAGAACTTTCTTTTTCAGTTTAGCTGCACTGGAGTTGCACTAAAATGTTTTTTACATGTTTTGTGCGCTTTGTATTCATATTCCATAATTCATAATCCTTTTGTGGTATGGTTACCACTAGTGCCAATTGATTATACAGTATCTGTGTAGTATCTGCACAGATCTTGTTTAGATTTCTATATTTATACATTTGAAGTATCCAAGTACTTATGGTTCAAGTAGGTTCATATTATGCACTTCCGTTACTAGGAGGGTACTTAACGAAAATTTATATTAGGTCGAAAGCTAATTAATTTATCGGCAAGGGGTACACATTCAGACTTTTAATGCAATTCATTCGAACGGTTCGGTACGTTATCCATACTTTATGCAAATCTTACGAGTGTAGGTCGCGAAGAGGAAGAAGTTTGACCAGTAAATCTCGTATGCGAAATGGTAATCCGCAATAACTAATTTCAGTGTATCTGCCATTCAGAGAAGCTGCACGGTATTTTAGCAGTCGTAAGAACTGGGTCGAAATTCCATGTCAAATATCGTGCTTGCTTGTTACTAGTATACTACCTACTTTCCTAGTGCGCTAGATGAGACAGTGAATCTGATTGAGAGAGCGATATCGAAAATATTAATAGATAAGAACAAGATAATTAAAAGTCCTCCATTAAAAGCCGTAACTATAAATACCGACCGTACTGTAGGCAAGTGACATAATTTAATCTTTCTTTAGCATAATGTTAGTCTTATTATTTGTGTTACTTTTCACTGGACAGTTGCTAGTAAACTCCGCCAACGGAATAAGCTATCGCCTACCACAAGAAGTTAGGCCTTTAAAATATGATTTGGAAATTAGACCTGACTTTCAAAATGATATTTTCACTGGTGATGTATCCATCCTAGTTATAGCCAACAAGAACGCCAGCACGATTACTCTTAACCAACTGGGACTGAAAATGCCGCCAAAGGAAACAGTTCTCGTGTTAGGAATTACCATGAATGAGACAGTAACTGTTGCATCAGTTGGACCAGGCGAATCCGAAGATCAGCATTTTTTTATAATTACTCTTGCAGCTCCATTAGTTACTGGTCACAACTATTTAGTTAAAATACCAAATTTTCAGGGAGCTTTCACGTCTGATAACCAACATGGGTTTTATTACGCACGCTACGTAGATGATTTAGGAAACCATAAGTAAGTTTACAAAAGTTTCATCTTATATACGCTAATCATGACGTTTCAGAACTTTTGCAACGACCCAGTTCGAACCTGTGTTTGCTCGTAAAGCATTTCCTTGCTTCGACGAGCCTGATCTTAAGGCAAAATTTAACTTGGTTGTAAAAAGGCCGAGTAGTAATTATATATCCGTGTCCAACACCCCAAGAGATGAAAATTTATCTAATGGCCTAACAGATGTATTTGAGGAAACCGAGCTGATGTCGACATACTTAGTCACATTTATTATATCCGAAATGGAATTTTCGAAATTGTTTGAACGTCATCGAGTATTGGCGCCAAAATACGAACTGGAGAAAGGACGTCATTCATATTCGTTAAATGCAAGTTATCACGTTCTCAACGAAATGGAAAGATACACCGAGATTCCGTACACGTTTAAGAAGTTGGACCACGCGTCAATTCCCAATAAATACTATTCTGCTGGGGCCATGGAAAACTGGGGACTTATAACTTATAGGTAACCAAAACCCGTGAGAATACACGGAACACTTTTTAATGACTTGTTATTTTACACAGAGACGATATCTTGTTACTGTCTCCAAGTAGTAGTGTCCCTTATAGGCGACAAGCCGTCACTGTGATCTCTCATGAAATAGGACATCAGTGGTTTGGGAATTTAGTTTCACCTAAATGGTGGGATTATATTTGGTTAAATGAAGGTTTTGCAAACTATTTTGAAAACTATTTGGCAGATAAGGTAAGACGCCCGTGATATGAAGGTCACCCTTTCTCAACAATTGTTCCATAGGTTGAACCAGACATGGACTTGTGGAAAAGATTTATTATTTTCACGGGCAAAAATGCAATGGTTTATGACGGTAACCCAGAATACTCAAGGCCCATGACTTTCTCAGTAGAAGAGCCTTACAACATAATGCCACTCTTTGATATAATAGCTTATATGAAATGTAAGTAAAACGCTATTACTAAAAGTGTCATTCACTAATTATACAACATATTAGCTGGCGCAGTTATTAGAATGCTAGAAAATATGGTTTCGCGGAAAATTTTCCGACAAGGCTTGGTTTACTATTTGAAAGAGATGCAATACAATGGAGCAACGCCGCATGACCTGTACAAAAATATTCAAAGAGCTTTAAACGAATCTACCCACTCCGCTTTGCCCTCATCAATGACGGTTGAAAGTATAATGACAACTTGGGATTCAGTTAGCAGCTTTCCGCTTGTAACAGCTACCAGAAGTTATGGCAATATAACAGATAACGTTTATCTCAAACAGGTTTGTTTATCCCATCACTAAAAGTTAAGCTTACTAGTATAAATATCTTAGAGAGTTTACAATAACTACCACAACCAAGGTGCCTTGGGCAACTGGGCGATACCAATAAATTACGCGACCAAACGAAATCATTCCTTTGAAAACACTTCTCCGACGGCCTGGCTTACGAGACCATCAGGAACAATTACGGTTTCACAATTAGGCGATGACGATTGGTTTATACTGAACGTACAACAAAGTGGATATTACCGAGTTAATTACGATAGTAGAAACTGGGAGTTAATTAGTGACGCACTAAAAAAAGATCATCGGGTTATTCATCCATTGAATAGAGCTAAATTATTGGAAGACAGCCTTTACCTAGGACTCACAGGTGATCTTTCACCCGAAATATTTTCCAAAGTATCAGAATACGTTGTAAATGAAGAAGATCCCTTAGTCTTAGCTGTCGTCCAAACTACTTTTGCTGAAATGGATAACAAGTTCTACTATGCCAAAGGTCAAAGCGATTTCAAGGTACCTAGTGTGAAATATTGAGAATGTTTTTAACTTGTTTATCTCATACAGGATCGAGTCATTTACCTTCTTCGAGGTGCAGTTAGCCGTTTAACATTCGATGAAAAATTAAATGACAGTCCAAGTGAAAAGGAAGCGCGCGCCAGTGTAATATTTTGGTTGTGTAAAATGGGCCACATGGAATGTAGAACCAAATCATTAGCTAAATTTTCCGCATGGAAAGACAATAGGGCATCGATCTCACCTGAATTAGAATCTGCAATTTTTTGCGGCGCTCTACGTAACAGTAGCCAAATAGAATTCGATTATTTATTCGAAGTATTCACCAATACTACTGACTATCATTTTAAAACTCGTGTTGCTTCTGGCCTGAGTTGTATGGAAGATGAGAAATCGTTGAAACGGTAATCGTAGCTTCTCTAATAATCAAGGAAACTAATTATTATACTTTCAGGTTCTTTGAATACTGTTTGCATGATTGTTCCCCATCACTACTTGAGCATGTACTAAGAAATATGCATGCCAGTAGCAAAGTTGGATTTGAGACGGCATTAGATCTATTTTTCGCGCATATTGAACGACTTTCTACCAAGTAAGTGTAATACAGTAACTCGAAAACGAAAAGTACCTAATACAATGTATCAATGCTTTAGGCTAGGCGATCAAACCCAGTTCATTGTCGAAGAACTTGCTAGTCGGTCTTACTCTGCTGAACATGTATGGAAGGTAAGTACCTTCTAAAGCGACTTACCATTCTACAGGTGTATTTGCAGTTGAGAAGAGCAAAGTTCCTATCCAAATCTGGCACTCTGTTCGATCGGGCCTTGGCCACAATGGCAAGAAATGCAGCGTGGCTTAGTCAAAATGAATCCAACGTACTGAGAATGATCAAATGGTATAAACACTAATTAGTGTTTCTTCTTAGAAACGGATGTATAAATAATTCTTACTGTAGTAATATACTTTTTCTCCACAATTTGTCATTTTATGAAACCCGTGTGTAAGTTGAAAAAGGAAAAGGGTCTATGGAGCCGAGCTATTTTACCAATTATAATCCAGCATGTTGTTAGTGGTGGTAAATTATTCTAAGGAGAACATCAAAACATCCATGAGATTTATTGTTTGACAGTGATACTATCTACGTGTATTTGCAAAAGTTGGAGTAACGGCTTATATGGAATGCACCATGAACAGTATACAAAATACCGAGGCCTAGTCAATACACATGGGAGGATAGTACAGCGTTTACAAGTCGATTGAAATGGAAGCATATTAAATAGAGGTCGCGGTACAAACCACACCTACTCGAATGGTTCATTTCTTTCTCGCTAGTTTGTAATTGCTACTCCACTGTAATGGAACATTGTGCATAAAATGTGTACCATATAAGTCTAAAGGGTTGCGTTGTAATGTAATTTATTTAGGTATATGTTAGCGGTAAAGCCCGGTACGTCACTAAACTTAGGTTTGCCTAAGTAATTCCAGTATTACAGGACTTCTGTAGTCAAAGTACGAGGTTATTTCGTATTATAATTACGTATACCTTTACATCTGAAACAAAAATATGATATACTCTGTATATAACCAATTGACGGTTTTGCGCAGACGCCGAATACACTTGGATTTTGGTAACGAAACTAGGGGAAAATGAAGAAGATGGCAACGAGGTCGACGGAAGGCATCACGCTTTCCCGGTTTTTTATGCTTAATTATTTTGGTGGTGGTGTTTTGAAGGTGTGGTATAGTAATCATTTTATTTTTTCTTGTACTAACTAGTAATAATTGAATTTCTTGCCACAATTTGATATTATTTACATTTTGCTGATTTTGCATAAACTGATATCTGAATCATCAAGTAATAGGCCAATGTTAAGGGCCATAGACTAAACCACGTTCTCTATGGTTAAGGGCATAAGTTTTTTTAAACTCATATCGATAGAGCGGATTAGAAGTTCCGTTCGGGACCGCTTGTAAATTATGGCGACAGGAGAAGTCTAGAATCTCCTAGAACCTGTAAAACTATTACCTGGCGTATTATGTACAATATTTTATTTGTTACTCATTTGTAAACAATAGTAAACGTAAATAATTAGTTCTTAAATTGATCTCGCAGAAATGTCTAAAATATCATGTTATTCTAGTAACAGAGACTTCGCACTAATTCTGCCCAATGAAATTACTAGATTACTAACTTGTAAAATTTTTACAGGTCAGCTGGCAGTTTTACAAGTCAGTAGCGTTTAAACATGACGTTTACCTTTAGACCATATACTACATGGACTGCTATTCGCCCTATGTTTTCAATACAAAATGGATGGTCACGGATAGAGGGCACTGTAGTCTCATCTTATATTTACAGTGACTTTATAGGGACAGTGGCGACAACCCGGTACTCGTTTTTGATTGGAAGTTGGTTCCGATCGCCATATTGGAGCAAAATCATGGCTATTCGCGATTTACATTACCGTTTGAAACTGTTTTTGACGTTCAGATAATACGCTGACAGCACAATACTAACTCAAATAACTGTCGGGAGAGGGCGCCTCACAATTTGTAAATCGCTAATATTTTTACACGTGTTTTTTGTTTTACGAAATTTGTCATTAAAGGTGCTGTTTAAACTAAAATTTGTATTGCAAATAATCGGTTCTACGTAAAGACGTAGTTTAGTGTGTTAAAAGTTAATAGAAATGTAAGTATTTTCTTAATTGGGTAATACAATTTTGTTTGTTTGACGAAGGACATGTGTCTAGTTTTTAGATATAATGGGTGGGTGTGCCGCTGAAGGATGCAGCAATTCCGCAAAGAAAGGTTTCTTGATGAAACGATTTCCGAGGGACCCAAAAAGAAAGCAGGAATGGATGGAATGGATAATCAAAATGAAAAAAGGCAACTGGCAACCAACTGATGCAATGCGCTTATGCGAAGTAAGTTTATTCTAAGTTTATTTAATCATGTCCTACGAGATAACTTTTACACTTCTTAATTAACATGGAGTACATATATTATTAAATAACTAGTTATTTCTGTAGGTCCACTTTGGTCCCGAGATGTGGGAAAAGACCCGCGTAGATGGAAAGCGTGTACTAAAATGTAATGCTGTTCCGACAATGTTTGCTTTCTCCAAATCAACATTAACAAGAAAAGCACCTACACCAGAAAATACGTCAGTCCAAGAATTAAGTAAGTTTATACTCAATTGCTTAAAAATAATTACTGTACCTATACCTTTTTCATTGACAATTTCCGTAAACAAACATCAAAACTGGTTATATAAATTGCTATTCTAAAATTGCAAAATGTGTATAGTAGTATACCTACTAGCAGATGTAAAATACATTTTTTATGTCTTAGATCAAACCACGGATTATGGTATCAGTGATCCAGAACCTTTAACATCAGCGGCATCATCAGACATCCTTTCTGTCACGTTAGATGAAAATATTCGAGAATCGTCACCGTCAACCTTAACAGCTTCGACTTCATTCATTGATGTTCATAAAGACTGCAAATCTAAATTTTTGCGATATGAAAAAATGTATATAAGAGAAAGACAAAAGGCCAGACGGTACAAACAAATGTTATGTAACATTAAGAAGGAAAACAAAACCTTAAAAGATAAGGCAAGCAATATTCCAGATGAATATCCTATATTAAGAAATATTTTTAATGAGGATCAAGTAGAGGTTTTGAAGAAACGAAAAAGCAACCGATCAAGTAAGGGCTTGAAGTGGTCAAATTCTACAATTTATTACTAAATCGCTCAAACTCAAATTCAGTTGTGGAGGTAATGGCTATGAGGAGCTGCTAAAACAAGGCCATCCTCTTCCTTCAAAACGAACCCTGCAAAGAAGACTACAGAATCTAACATTTGATAGTGGGATTTTAATTGAAGTTTTCGAGTTTTTACAAACAAAAGTTGAATCATTTTGTGAATTTGAAAAAGATTGTGTTTTAGTGTTAGACGAAATGGCCATCACTCCAGGCAACACGTACGATTCATCTCTTTCCAAATATTTTGGTGATGTGACTTTACCAGAGCATACTGGAATAGCAACTCATGTGCTAGTTTTTATGTTGGGTGGAATTACTGTGCGTTGGAAACAGGTCGTTGCTTACTATTATACTAGCAATTCGGTGAATGGTACAGTTTTTAAAGACATTATAATGGAAATCCTTAAAAGAGCGGAAGAATTAAAACTGAACATTCTAAGCGTAACATCAGATATGGGTGCTTCTAATCAAGCATTGTGGAAAGCATTGGGTGTTATGGCAGGAAGGCATTCTGAAACTAAATGCAAAATTCCCCACCCAATAAATAACAATGAGTATGTATATATGTTTGCTGATGCACCACATCTTTTTAAGAATATTAAATCTATGCTTTTGTCAAATAAAATAATAAGAATACCCGACACGCTAAAAGAAAAATATAAATTGCCCACCAATGAAATAAGAGCAAATCATATTTCGGAAATTGCGGCATACCAAGAAGAACACGAATTTAAATTGGCACCAAGATTGTCAGAAGCTGATTTGCTGCCATCACATTTTAATAAGATGAAGGTATCTACTTCTACCAACATAATTAGCCACAATGTTAGCAGTGCCCTCAAGTTTCTTGCAGAAGAAATGAAAAAACCCGAGTACTTGACAACTGCTTGGTTTTTGGATCAAGTCGAACAATGGTTTTATTTAATGACATCCCGACATCCATCGAGTGCATTAAGCAAGTATAATAAATGTGCATATACGGATTCCATAACCTTTTTAAAGGATTTTATGCACATTTTTAAATCTTTAGAAGTTGGAGTGAAGAAAGTTTGGAAACCTTCGCAGACAGGTGTGTTAATTACAACGCAGTCACTGTTAGAACTCCAAGAAAATCTTCTAGAAAACAAACAATATAAGTTTATTCTGACTAGTAGGTTTACTCAGGACTGCTTGGAAAATCTGTTTTGTGTTTTAAGAAGCAAACAAGTAGTACCAAATGCTTTACAAGTCAAAAACCATTTAAAGTTGATTTGTGTCGCGCAGTATTTAAAAAACCCCATCAGAGGCAGCTACGATGAAGATGATAGAGAATTTTTGTCAGGTTTTTTAGACACCTTACCTCATCTTATCCGAAAATATGATGAAGTAAAGATTCCAGAACAAGTAAATTACGATGGATATAATTTAAATTTTAGTGAACTAAATTCTTTGTACAACGTTTGTGGATATTTAGTCCACAGTATAATGAAAACTTCAAAAACATGTCCACGATGTTTGGCGGCTGTGGGTTCCAAAAAACCGATAAAAAATGTGTTTTCTAAGTTTACTAATCTTAAAAGATTCAAAGAAAATACACTTTTCTTCTGTACAGAAGAATTTTTTCATTTTGTTTTGCAATTAGAATGGATATTTAAAAAGTTTTTTCCCATAGTTTCAACTCAAAATATTAATTTAAAGGAGTTTTACTTGGAGAAAATGAACTCCAAAGATGTTTCAATCCCCGAATGTCACCGGTTAAAATATAAATTTATTAATAGATTTGTAACATTCAGGTTAAAAATAAGATCAATGAAACGCAAGGCCTCAAGTGCAATATACGCCAGCAAATCAGTTGCTGGCCATTGTAAATAAACACATTTTT